ACACAAAGTCGACGTGGTGCTCTAGCATTGAATTTATGACCATTTTCTTATAACGCGTATCCTTCCTGCCAGAATCGCCCATGACCAGTAGCGAGCAATACTTAGATAGATCAACAGCGATTGGCACTATGTAAGGGCATGGGGGACGGATGGTCATCTCAAAATTGACCAGAGGGTTAATCTCCTTGGCCTGATAATATCAACCACAGCATCGCACTACATCACGGACTTGAGCACTGATAAAGTGAACTAAAATATTCCACCCCCAACTAATGAGATTTCTCTTTACCATTCTTCGGGCAACAGAATGCAAGACTTTTTCCCAGAAATCAAGTCCCTGCGATATTTCAAAAAATAATTACGTTCAGAGAGTTCCGATGCCAAATTTCGGGTTAATATGAGCAATTCTTTAGAAGTTAGAAATTGGGTCTTCAGATTGCGCGTACAGTACAAACTATCATAGTACCGTTCATAGGTTATCAGTCTTATCATTTCAATGAGATCTCGTTTAGCCTTTGGCATCCGCTTCAAATACAGTAATTACCGAGAAACGATATAATATAACAATACATATAATGGCGATTTGCGACGATAATTATTATTACTCTCCTCCGCGCAGACATATAAACATCAGCTGCCTGAGCTTCACTCCCCTTCTTAAAATGAACCGCCAATACGTTCTTTCCCTGGTCAACCAATCTGATACCCCAATCGACGACTATCTTCCAGTTCTCAGAACTCAATAACAATATCTGAGGCCACACCATACCACACGCCTCTCAACATCATCAACATCATACCGCGTGATACTCCGCCAAATTTGGCGGGGCGGGATCTCGAAGAATGGACCGCACCCCAGAGAGTGGTAATACCTCTTCCCTACTCTCCATACTGGAATTACCTGCCCATACCATAACTCCAGCAACTCCCTCCGAATTCCAAGACTACTACGTTCAGCACATATATTGATAACACTCTTCTTTGTCCCTCCACGCGCACCTGTGCTGGCCTCGAAAAAGCCCGCGGGGTGCGGCACTCTTCTCAGCATTTCCACAAGCCGCTCCACTGAATCTTGCAGCATGCCGCGTCCGTTCGATGCAGGAGTGGAAGGCCTCGCATTTCCCTTCAGCCGCAAGACGCCAAATGGAAGCGATATTATCTAACCCACGGCTCCGCTTTGATCAATAGTCTCCTCAAACTATCATCACCTGGTCCTCCCTAGTCAGCAGCTCGCGAAGCGATGTTCTATTAGGGCAAATAGACTGACATGACACAGCATCTACTGTGCGGCTGCGAGTAGCAATCTACCAAGCTCTCCATAGGACAGTTCCTCAATTCCTCAGGCAGCCACTCTGGGCAATCCAATAAACACCCACACTTAGTCCGCACTGATTTCCGCATTTCACCACCAAAACTAATCTCATCATAAAGGATGTCCCCAGCGGCATTAGTTTCAGTAGCATAAAGGCCGCACAAATGCAATATACCTATCCTAAAGCGAGCATCACCTTCAACTACACCTGAACAACAGTAGAATTCCTACAGCAACCATCTACTAGTCCTCGAACTACATCGTCGTTTAGACCTCTGCATGAACTCCACCCCGTTCTCTACAGCACGCTTACTCCCCTCGTCATTACCACATACCACCACAATCACCACTCTAGATGAAAATCGCATATCAAACTGCCTACGTCCAGAATCAACATAAAACGATAACTTCTCCGCTCGCTTCTCACTACCACCTGTATAACACACTATAACGCAAAACCTCCACCATGCACTCCCCACCGCTCTTCCCAGTGTCCCCTGATTCCTTCAATAGCCCTTCAGTAGGACTACCAGTGGTCGTCGAGGATACACTCAGGCTAGTCGGTCTTAACGGTTTACGTTCCATATACTAACCGGGTTAGTCTACTCTCCTAATCGATTACAAACGAGTGAGTACACCAACTCACAACGCAACACGACCAACTCAGACTTGAAAGTATTTATTCCACGCCGCTAACAGCATCATCACACAGATACAGTCACTTTCCATGACAGTATGAACACGCTATGACTACTCTAGTAATGCTGCTGTGAAACGGACGAGGACGTTACAAGACATAACAAGACACTTCGCTCTCAACGTTCCTTACAGCTCGTCACCCTTCTCAGCCTCTTCCTTTTCGGCAGCCCTAGAGGCAGCAAGACGCTGCTTCAAAGTGTCAGCGTTAGAATGATGCTTCTTGATCCACTTCCAAATGCCCTTGGCATCACGGGGACCATCATACTTGACGGGCTCACTTCCCCCAGCCTTTACATAGAAAAGGCTCGGGAAACCATCCCATGAAATACTCTCAACGGGAGAATCATTAGCAGTGCCATCCATCTTGGCAATCAAAATCATATCATCAACTCCCTCCTTGGCAACCTTTTTGGCGACCTTCTCATACTCAGGAGCAAGCTTCTTGCAGTGACCACACCAAGGGGCATAGACCTCGAAAAGGACATCCTTATCGGCCTGGAAGAGATCCTTCTCGAGAGTTGACCCAACGACGACATGTACAGCCTCATCCTGAGAACCAGGAACAGGCTCAGACTTCAAAGTGGGCTCGATGGTGCCGGCAAGAACACCCTTAAGGAACTCCGCGATCTTCTCCTTAGTCATCTCACCAGTGTACAGATACTTCATCTTGTCACCAGCCTTCTTGTTTACAGCCAAAGTGGGAAACTCAGTCACACCGAGCATACCCTCAATAGCGCTCTTGAACTGAACAGTATCAATGTAAGTGAACGCGAACTCATCCTGAAACTCCTTGGCAAGCTCGTTCATGAGAGGACGATACTCCTCGGCAACCTTCTCAAGATCCTCACTGGACTCTTGCTCGAAGCAGCCCCATACGAGGCCCTTCCCAACAGACATGTATTTACCATAGGACTCACCGTCGAGAACACCGAACAGAGGGAGCTCATTCTTTGCCAAGCAACTCTTAAGACCATTAAGGGAAAGGTCATCACACTCAACACCCTCCTCACCCTTATGCTGGATGGTAACGGTCGGCTTATCAGAGTCGCTCGCAACATGATAAAAAGTGAAAGCAGATCTCTTGTTCGCCGCGACCTCCCCAAAATCATTGGAAACCTCACGTCCCTCATACACACAAATGGGCTTGGTCTCAGCTTGCTCCTCAGCCAATTTACGGCTGCCGATTTCCTTCACTGCAGGCCCAGTCATATCGATGCACCAGGACTTGATCTCAGCAGCAGTTCGACCACCACCATACTCGGTGTGCTCACCGTTAACAAACCAGTACAGAGTAGGGTAACCACGGATAGCATACTTCTCAGCCATCTTCTTATGCTCCGTGGCATCAAGCTCCCCGAGGGCAAGGGTCGCGTCCTCGACCTCCTCGGCGAGCTCAGCAGCGGCCTGCTCGAACTCGGGAGCAATCTTCTTACAATGGCCACACCAAGGGGCGTAGAACTTCACCAGGGCGTATCTAAACGAACAACAAATCTCAAGAACCCGACATACTCATATTCATCCCTACTTGTGGCCCTTCACGAAATCCTCCATGTTGTCATCAGTCAACTGATGAACCTTCGACTCTGACTCAGCAGCAAACACCACAGCCGCGATTGCTGAGAAAAAGGGGATAAGTCTAACCATGATGAAAATGATAAATACTCCTGAAACGACCAGGCTGCCTCAGACGATAATCATAAAAAGCCGAATAGCGTCCCTATACACTGGAGTCTACTACATCCTGATGGTCTAGTAGCGCTGGGGACTAACGGACACAGGAAGGAGATACTCCATGAAAGGTTGTACGAGTCGCCAATATGAACGCGTGCCCTTGCGTTACGCGCTCGCCCAGAGAATCTTCGTTAGATACTCTTAACACATCCCGGAGGTAACAAAATGCGTGCTTGTCGCATAACGTAGACAACATCATTCCCATCCTAACGATGGCTTGGGATTTCTGGGTGAGCATCAGGCAGAGCCTCCAATAGTTGCCGTATGCGTCTTTAGGGATAGTCGGAGTTGTAGCTTATCTGTGGGCACTACAGCAAGTGGATAGGCATAACCTACATACGTGATGTAACACACAAGTTGTGTATTACACAGCTGGCAGTCTGTGTATATGATTGTCTCATCTGTGCGCATATGTAACTCCCCCATAACGCAACAACACTAGCCTTGAAGATCATCGGTAGATCGGTCCGTATCTAATGCGTTCAGTGTCCAATGGTATCTTCGAATGAATCATGCTATGTGACTCAGTGAATGATAGTGCTGAGAGTACATCATCCACCTCAGCAAGATGAGCAGTGACCTCCTCAGGCTGCTCCCTATCAATCGGCGGCACTCTACACTGCCACTGAGCAGGCCTAGGAATCGGCGCCTCCGGCAAGCGATCTCCACCAGATCCATTAAGCTTCAAGAAAACGTCCAAAGAGTCTCGTTCAGCACGTCCAAGATCCACAAGTGTTGTAGCTGGGTCCCTGTTACTTGATGCCAGAGCCGACCGCGGTTGATGACACCGTTCGGGTGATCTGGGGGCATCCACCAGCGGACCTAGAGGGCTCCTCGATGAGCTCCGTTCACTAGAGAGGCTTTCCAGAGGTCGAAGACGCAACACTCGCTTGCCGTCCTCATCGGCCGTGATGCTGATAGAGGACCGCAGGGCAATGCTGTTCTCGAGTTCGTCAGTCCTCGTGATAGGTGCTGGACGTTCGTGAGCCCTCGGAGGCGGACTTGGGCGCTCAGGCTTCGGCCGTCGCTCCTCAATGGACTTACTCAGGAACTCCCGCAACATCTGAAAGGGCTTTCAAACGCTGAGTGGTAAATCCCCTACCTTATCCGATTCACGCTCTTCGCCAGTCTTCATAGCAGCCGCCTCGTTGCCACGACTCATCTGTAAGTAGCGCCTCAGTAGGGACCGCTGATGCCTGAAAAATCCCGATCGGAGTAACAAACCTCCAAGCTCGTACTGACTTGTTCAGCGGCCCCTCCCTATTCTGCTGATGGCCACCATGAACCGATGACCTCCCTTCGACCGTCACGTCGTCCTCGGACGATTCGCCCGCCGCATCCTCCGACAGTGTCCGAGGAGCACGCATATCACTAAACCTCCTCTTCACTGTATGAGAGCAAGCAGAAGCCCCCGATGTTCTTCTGCTCGATGGAGGCGTCTCGTCATGGAGGAGATCGTCTCCAGCCTCAAGATTCATTCGTGGTCCCTCACAGCCAGGCGCAATGCGCTTAGCAGCACTCTCTTGTGCCACCTCTTCCACTGAGCCCGGCACCGCCACACATGCTTTCAGACGGGCTCGCTCAACGAGGTCGGCCTTAGCCCGCTGATGATACTTATTGAGCAGCTCCAACGACCTCCGCAGAGTCTCTTTGGCCTTCGCTGCCTCTGCGATCGCCTAAAAGGCTATCAGCTCATGGACCATGCAGCTGATAGCCTTTTAAGCATGGTATGTAGACTCCCAATGTAAAAACGGGGAGCTCCAGAGCCTACCCGTTCGGCACTCGACTCCGCCACCTCCCGAGCTCTTTGCTCCGTCTCAGCTCTCTTCTTCTGCTGTGCCAGTGTTGCCACCAATCGTGCCACTCGGTCCTTCTCGGAATCCCGCAAGTTCGATAATTCACGACCTGATCACCGACGAACGTCATGTAACTTTTCTTTACAGTCCCCATGGGAAATACAAGCCGTGGAGCCGGCGATGCCAGCGAAAAACTACTCGACACTATTGGCACCTGTGGGGTCCTTCTTTGTGCACACATTTGGCTCGTCCGACCCCTGCCGAGAAGCTGCTGAGGCACTTCCCATCCGTGCCAGACCGCGGCAACGGTGCTGGCTGACCGGCCGCTTGCTCGACATTATAAATGTGAACTCTGACACAGATGGCGAATATTTCTCAATGGGAAGGACCCTTGGAAGCAATGAGATTTCAATGCTACATGCTACACGCTGTGCTCGGTTCTTATTCCCTCGATCTCTCCTCCTCTCAAGTTCCGACCACCGAGCGAATTGACAAGTAACACTGGCTGTAGCAAGACACGGCAGTACTAGTAGTGAACATGACCATCAAACTACTCTCCTCTATGACATTGTGATCAACCGCACTACAGCGTTAATTTTCCTGGTCCGCCTCCACGGTAGCAGTGGCACCTCGGAACAGGACCAGACTTCTCAACGACTCCACTGACAGGACAATAGCCCGAGCATATCAACTATATTCGAAGGCTATTGTCCTGAGAATTTGTCAGCAAAAATAAGGTGCCATTTTTTCCGCCTCAGCCTCGCCTCCAGCTATCTGTGATGGTCCAACCAAGCAGTGTGTACCACTATCACAGAGAGCACAATAACGTCGCCATATGCAGGAGGTGCTGATACTACAGTGAGTGCAGTACAACACTCATGTATCCGGAAGAACTAGGTGAAAGCCCTTTACTAGAGCTAAAGCCAGTGCATCGAGAAGCTCCATATTCACACTACACGGTAGCCATGGCGGTCATGAGCACACTATGGGAACTCTATTCTGCGCTGTTCGTGTTTGTTTTGCTCCTTCTGTTGTTCTCGGTACATCTTCTCGAGCTCAGCCGCACGCTCAGTACTCTCGAGCTCTCGCTTGACCAGATCCTCGCCCTCCCCGAAAGGAAGCCTTCCTGATGCTATGAAGTCGTCTCTGATACGATGGCGGGACTCTGGAGGGAACCAAGCATCGACACAGTTCACACCAGCGGCCCATAAAATGCCAACTATTCTCAATGCAGCTACAATGAAATTCGCAACCTACAGTTATCATCGCGAGCCTAGCAGGTTATAGACAACAGAAAAACAAGACGCCCACCCGACCTTCGATGACAGCATTCTCGCTAGCAGATCTTGTCATGGCTACATATACAAAGCTGAGGAAGGGGTCGATGGAGCTCCTAAGAACGAGGAGCAGAAACAGTGCCAATAACTCAGTATACAGCGTGTCGACATTCAACGGGAAAACCGCGAGTGATCCCGTTCGGCTTAGACATTTGAAAGTAGGGAACGACGAAAAGCGGTGTGGTGCGTCCCACCCAGAGACGAGTAACGGCTTGACAGAGGGGTTCTCGAGTAGAGGGGAGTATCTTCTGATGAGGAGCTCATCTTTGGCTAGTGCCATGCCTTGGACGTCACGTAATACATTCGAACCTATACACAATTTGAGAGAGGTACGGTAGAGGCTACCCGATCACATTCAAACTGGTACGAGATGGAGAAGGAAGAATGCGCAGTATAGCGGCTTGAATTCCACTACCAATCAATGTACTGAGCGCTCATCTACTCACATGCGTACTTGGAGTGAGACTCTGGATAGCCGACCTCCACTCCGGCCGGATCGCCACTGGATGACCAGACCTAGACATAACGTGTGGCGATCGATTACCCCCGCTGAGAGCTGCGGGATGGGTGGTGACTTCTCACGGAAGCGGGTCGGAGTAGTATCGCTGGTTGAGCCATAGAGTGAGCTCATCCTCAACGTCCTTGCCATATGATGGCATCGGCCCGATAACTTCATGACACTGTCAGAGGAGCAATACCGATGAGGACTAGTCCGACCTCCTCCTCCTACATCGAGTCCAGGACCTTCAGTACCCTTGGGTGATCTTAGAGCAGTCCAAACTGGTACACCATCTATCTGTGGATCGCCCTGTGGTCTCAAACCATCGGGAGGTCCCATTGACTCCTTCTTGAGAGGGTGTGTAGCCGCTAATGTTATCTCACACGCTCCCCTTGCGCCTGGCCTCACCCTTGCTCGATTGCGGGTCTGCAGATCGGGAACTTGCCTATCACTTACCACACCAGTCAGTTACACACTCTCGAGTTTAGCGGGTTGGACAGACGCTGATAGCTCACTCCACAGGGACATCCGCAGGGGTTTCTACGCTACGTATGCTCACATCTGACTCAACTTCATTGAACTTCTCTTCGAGAGCCCTAGCCCTCATACGCAGTAGTCTGTCGAGGACTTTATTGTCCGACCCGTCGTTGCTCGATGTACGATACACCTTGAGGAGAGTTCGTACATCAAAGCTAGTCACAACTCCAGCCGCATGACCTGAACGACAGTGCACCTAACTCGTGCCTGCTAACCACACAGACCCTCCGTTCTGTCTCTCTGGGCCTACCCATATGATGCCGATATTCGGACAGAGGCAGATACCTCACTCGGTCACCCAATCCTTGCAAGGCAGCGTTGAATGCGGTTCGGACGGTGGAGGGCGAGTCCAGCAGGACAGTTGAAATAGTCTGAATATATATAGCAGAATCCATCGAGGTCTAATAGTCCATCACCTGGAGTACAGGGCTGTCACATCTAGCCGCGAAAAAACCTTCATCGCACACGTGCTCTCCGGAATCGGTGATGATCATAATACAACAGACTGAGATCACATTGCCGCCCTTGTTAGTCGATGATATGCACCTCGTAATATCCCTAAGAGAAGTCTACGTATACAGCAAAAAGGTCCTTCCTGTTGTCCGAGTAACAGGGAATACGGGCCGTTGCAAAAGCCTCACCTCAGCCAGCCGTCAAAGACCACAGTATTTGGGCCCATCCAAACGAAGAACCGTGGTCGGTTCCCCTCTATGCCTCCACTTTTACCACATCCTTCTACAGGATTCGCCCAGGGACTACTGTGCTTCTCACCGGTCTGATTCAGATGCATCCCCTGTCTCGACGTTGATCGGAGCAGCCTCTCGTCCCGGAAGATCAACACACTGTCGCGGGCTGCTCTCACCTCGACGCGAATGATGAACGGGGAGGTCGAATCCCTCTGTGTGGCCAGTAGAGAGCTGACCAGCTGTTCCACCATGAGTCGGTTGCCTGTCGTCTTCTCAATTGGCGAAGACACATAGACGGCCTGGAGTTCCAGTGTGGTAGCAACAGAGGTAAACGAGTTAGGCCGTAGAGTTCTAAAAGGAGCACCAAACTGATGATGTCTGATGAGAAGGTACATCACCGACTTGAGATCGGCCACTTGTAGTTCGAGCTTGTTATAAGCAAGGCCTGCTCGTTGTACATGATCCTGGCATGTTATAAGCTCCTTTGATTTACTACTCTCGGGGTCTCTAAAGGTGAGGCCGAGTCCAAGGCAATAGACAATATAAAAGACTACACCTTATCAGACCTATACTGTGCTTGACGAGACTAATCAGTGGGGCAGCTATGCCACCGTAAGATATGCCTTGGTAGAATCAAATTCGCAGGTGTTCTAGGTCATAAGATCAATTTCCCAGGTGGGGCAGCTATGCCACCCTAAGATATGTCCTAGTAAAATAAAATTCGCAGGTGTTCTAGGTCAAAAGATCGAGTTCCCAGGTGGGGCAGCTATGCCACCCTAAGATATGCCCTAGTAAAATCAAATTCGCAGGTGTTCGAGGTCAAAAGATCAATTTCCCAGGTGGGGCAGCTATGCCACCCTAACATTTGCCCTAGTAAAATAAAATTCGCAGGTGTTCTAGGTCAAAAGATCAATTTCCCAGGTGGGGCGGCTATGCCACCCCAAGATACGCCTCAGTGCAACCAAATCTTCCGTTGTACGAAGTAAGAGAATGCATTTCTCCGGGTGGGGCAATTATGCCATCCTCGGATATGCCTCAATCCAATCAAATCTCCAGGAGTATGAATTGGGAAGATGTATTTCTTCAGGTGGGGCAGTTATGCCACCGTACGATATTATTCTCAATACAATTGAATTTCCAGTAGTATATAAAATAAGAATATAAATTTCATAAGCATGATCAAAGGAACCCTAATTTCGACGAGTTGAGGGGATGCCTCCCTACCAGTACCGTTAAGGGGCAGTAGATACATCATTCCTTCCCCTATCATGCTCCCACTAAGCGTAGGAGGCGGGAGTAAGCGCACACTATAGCGGATTGGGTTGCGGTATATTCGAGATACTAACCGATAGCACATACCCAGATGCTAGCGTGTTCTTGAGTCTCGTCAGCTCAGAAGCCATGTCTTCTTTCATTCTCTCGTGCTCTTGACTCCGTCTACTGTAGTCACCGTGTGCAGAGCTTATCCTTGCCTCAGCGCTCTCCAGAGCATCCCTGGCTCGTTGCAGCTGTAGCTGTAATCTCTGAGGTACATACCGTGAGCGATTCCAAAGGACTCGGTACGTATACCGAGCCCACCCGTTGTTCAGAACTAGCCGCTTCCCCTTTCAACGCTGCTTCGAGTTCCGACACTTCCTTCGAGAGCGATGCTTCTCTTAACACGTACCTACACCTCACACCTATCGATCGATTTTGAAGGAGCGATGCAAGTCAAGCAGGATTGGTAAGCATTTATGGTTTACTACTCCTGTCGAAGGGCAGCCATCTTCACCTCAGTCCCTATGTCCGCCGGATAGATTATTACATAGAGGACCGCACACACCGAGATAAGCAACCAGAGTAGGCCCGCAGTTGTGATGACCCGGACTGAACGGAGACCCATTGTAGAAGAGAATGGCGCTGCCAATGACTCGAGATGTAGGCCACTTCTTGTAATCTTGAGGTACTGTAACAGCTATGACTCTGCCTGAGAATGCGAGCCCCGGGAAGCGGTTCGAGTAAAATGAAATAAGGAGCTGCTCACTGGGAAGTCAGCTATGCTCAACAATCCCAAGTTAAGAGTATGGAAGAATGCTTGTACAGTCCTTTCGTCCAGTCGAGCATTGATTGACTTTACTCAAGACTTTGACAACTACATCATACGGCGTATGACATAACATACTTATATATCGGATCCACAAATGATACACTCTCCAAGATGTTACCACAAACAACCTCCGGATCCACGGACCGCTGAGAGGGAACATGGCTGAGTTCAAGAGCCGCACAGTGTACTCAAACTTAGTAGCTTCAACCTGTGGTGATCTTGCAGCTCTTAGTGCTCTCGCTTTTCCTCAACGACACTTGTTGACTCAGTCAGCGCATTTTCATCACCATGTGAGATGCTGTACGACAGTGACCGCCAGCAGGCAGTACCTGATCCTCTAAGCATGGGAATCTCACGATAGATAGGTGCTTGGGAGTTTAGCTCGTTGACGGTATCCAACACTAAGACATCATAAGGGCCCCCCGTAGAGGGGGTAGTTCAGTATACTGTTTGCGAACCTCAGGACTGTCTCTGAAACCACGTTTCGGAAGTGATCACCACGTCCAGAATTGGTTCTGAATCGCCTGAGCTCAGCGACTAGTTAGAGCGACGAACCCAGCAGCATTACTGCTTCATTATCCACCGCTCCCTACCTTTGTAGCGAGTAGTGGAAAGACTCTCTACTGAAGAACACAGGCAACCTCACCATGGAAGCTCATATGATGCCGTCTCGAGTATGTTGCAACTTCTTCCCACCCTATCGCTGGCTACCGTTATGCGTTGGGAGCTGGATGGCTACCGGCGTCGAGAAATGCCCTCACGACGCCGGGTAACGGCTCGAGGTAGTATCATGTAGATGAATGCTTTGACACAGCATGTAGTATTCACGAATTTGATAGCTATTTCATGCTACGTGGCAAGAGCTTTCTCAGTCCTATCGAATGTGTCTCGTGTTGATGATCCTGTGTCCCAGCGGTGAGCCTTTCTCCATCCCTCGCTTCGTTCGAGCCACTATCGACGTTTGTCCACCGCTGAATAAGCCTGGACCCTCAGCTTGTCTTCCATGCGGTCCTCACGTCGGTTGCATGCTATGATTGGGAAAGCTCGCCGTGTGAGCGACGTTAAGTCTCGAATACTCGATGCTGATGGCAAAGGTGAGATGGCGGGTTCTTCATGTTATTCTGTAGGTGATCATCGGAACTGTTCTCAGAATTCGAGGAGATCTGTCGTGACCTGCTCTCGTTGGGCTCAACCCTTCCCGCAGACCTCCTAAGCGCTGCCGGCAGGGCTGTTGCTTCTACCAAGCTAAGTATCCACCCACAGACCGTTGACTCTCTTTGCTCGGCAGCCACTGAGTGTCTCGAATCAACAGACGAGATAGCTCCGGTCGACCTAGTGGGAGCCCTTGTGTCGGTGGCGGCGGCTTGTAAGCCCAGCCAACCCTCCATAAGAGGCCTTGTAGGAGGGTTAAAGGGTCGCATACGAACTACGGTCCCTCATATGACCCAACAGGATCTCCAGCGGGCCATAGCTGCTCTCTGTAAATTGAAAGAGCCTTCAGGAGTGGAAGTTCAACTGCTGCTAGATCGCTTAAACGGTGAGCTTGACATGCTGAGCGACTTCGCCTTGGCATCCCTAGCTCGAACCATCGCTGGCTCGGGATGGAAGGTCGATGGTGATTTCGCCAAGTCACTAGCTAGTACATGGAGACGGCGGGTCGATGGCCAGCGTGGGCTCAAGGCCAGCGTTAATGCCGCAGTCGTCTTTGCTGTCGGCAAGGTAGCGGCTAAAGACGTCGCTGTTGGAGTATTACGGCATGCCAATACCAGCCTCGATTACTCGGCATTCACTTTCACTGAGCTCTCACAGATCCTTTGGGTCTATGCTAACAACAACTTCCCTCCGAGTGAGAGCCTGTGGAAGGCGCTTCTCAGTACTGTCTCAGTGGATGGGGTCGCAACTTGCGCTACACAAACGATTGGATACGCCTTCTGGGCCGCCGGTGTGCTATCTCAAAAGGGCCATACGAGCCTCCTAGCGTCAGAGTTTACTCGGCAAATGGCCCAATGTGTCGTCGCTAGCGGGGTGAGAGCTTTCCAGCCGTCTAGCGTGAGCTATATGATTTGGGCGGTCTCTTTGGGTGGCACTGGAAACAGCGACTGCGCGAAGGACTTTTGTAAGCACATACTTGACGATAATTCCACAATAGAAGCTGTAGGGAAGTTTAAGTCGTTGGAGCTGGCTAACACATTGGCTGCAGTTTGCTCCCTCGGGCTCAGAGACAGTCTACCGCAATTCATTACCGTTGCCTGCCAGTACTTTGGGCATGCGGCCAAGACAGCTCCTGGGACCGCGGCTAACGGTCGGGCTTTTACCCAGGTGGCTTGGACCATGGTCCCAGAGGGTGGTCCTGAGATGGATGCTATCATTGCGTGGTTCACAGCCAATACTGAGGCGGTTGGCATCCGGTCATTGTGTAGAATGTTATGGGCAGTGTCAAAATGTAATGGTCTCACGGAAGCCTCTGTTGGACAGTCCGCATCAGTGGTGTCCTTCGTTTGCGCTGCATCCAAGAGATTCCTAAGTAGTCGTGGCGAACGTATAGAGCAGCAGGACGTTGGCCTTTTGGTGTGGGCTTTGGGTACACTACGATTATCCCATTACGAGTTGGAGGAGAGATGTTGTGTATTGGCAAGAGGCATGTTGAAGGAGGGTCGGATCGACAGCCGTCATCTGGCGATGGTCCTCTGGGGTATCACATCTAATGCACATCGATCACCCTCTGCCATCGATCTAATTAAGGGAACTATCTCGGCACTACGAGATCGTAGTATATCCTTTGACGTTGCCGATGTCGCTATTGTCCTCTGGGCCATGGCTGCTGCAGACACCTACGACCAGTCCGTCTTTCGGGACCTCCTGAGCATCCTTGCTTCCAAGTCTAACGAGCTATCCGCTGGAGAGAGGAAGGCCAGCCTAAGTAAGGTCCATAGGGCCTACCTCTGGGCTAGACTTGGCTATGGCTTCCAACATTCACCACAGAATGGCCATCTCATTGCAGAGGTCCTTGAAGAAGCACAGAGGGCCAGCGTGGATGCTAGAGGAGCCCTTCAAACTGAGGTCTGTCAGACCTTGAACAAGGCGCTGTCCCGCTCACCCCGGTCCTCTAGTATGCACTTGCTGTCGGAGGTGGACCTAGCACCGGAGCTGCCGGGATTATCAGTGGATGCAGCTGTTGTAGACGGCCGTACCGGCTCCCGACGCCTCCTGGTAGAAGTAGACGGACCGCATCACTACGTTGATGTCCTTGGTGAATCGGCCGTGACCAGACGACAGTACAACGGCCAGAGTGTTCTGAAACAACACCTCATCGCTCAAGCTGGTTTCAGGCTGCTCAGCGTTGAGGACGAGAAATGGCGTAGTCTGGACCGATCGGCAAAATACGAGTTCATACAGCATGAAGTGTCGGAGGTCCTCAGCGGCTCGGCTGAGCTGTTTCCGGGATAAGTTTCTGAATTAAGACGTCGTTCTCGTCAAGTCGGGGTCAATGATATTCTATTATAGCCAAGTCGAGATCGTGAAGTATCGAAGTTTTGGTATGAATGTCAGCCGTCTGCTCAGCTGCGCCGTATCGAACGAGCTGGTCGGTCGGCAAGTCAAAAATCTTCGGAAGCTCTTGAACTCCAACAGTCGGGGTGAAGACCATACCACTCCTTTCTCACTTTATCTCCTCTTGCCTCAGGAAGTTGGCTCGAAGCTTGCTCCGCTATAGTGGACATCCTCAACGGCCCTGGTGGCTCCCCTGTCCGACTCGAGCTTAGTCTACTGGCCGCAGCACTCATCAAATGCGTCAAAGTCCAGAACGACTCACGGTACCTGCCGCTTCTCACTACCTTGAGTGAAGCCATGGCCCAACGACTAGCGGGCGCCGAACCGACAGATTCCTCCACCATGTCCCCGAAGCACACCGCAGAGGTCTTCAGGGCCATCGGTGTGGTCGGCAGGTCCCCTCCTAGCCCGGTGGTTCGGTTAAGAGATCTACTACGACCACATCTACTCCTAGCAATACCACACATGGGTGCCCTACAACTACGACATGTAGCATGGACCATCAACCGGCTGTCCATACCTTGGCTCACCGAGATAGAGTCGGCTGTAAAGACCATTGTGGATCGGGTGGGTCTGGTCTCAGTTGGGTCGGATGAGCTGGCGACCTTCGTCTGGGCCGTCAGCCGTATAGGTGCTTGCAACTCACACTTCGCTGGTTTGGTGGCGGTAGACTGGAAGGGTCGGGTCGGCCGATCTGGTATGAGTCCCGAGGCCCACGCCGTGGTACTCACATCACTCGGGGCTTCCGCGAGGGACCACCCCGATGTGGTGCGTCTCTTCAGTACGTGCTCATCAGAGTTGCCTTTCGAGAGCTTCAACCCAACGGAGCTGGCATCGGTCCTCTGGGCCTTCGGCCATGTCCCAACGGCTAGCCTAGACCCAAGTATGTGGAAGGTGTACATCAGCAAGTTCGGTGACACTTCTACTATCCAGCAGTGTCCATTGAAGAGCATAGGCAATGCCTTCTGGGCGGCCGGAACCATCGCTCAGTACAACAAATGCGAGTCCCATCCCCCTCTATCATTCATCCGTCATCTTGGAGAGCTACTGGTACGGTCCGAGTTGGGACCATTCACAGGCGCGGTCACTTCAAGTGTCGCTTGGGCAGTTACTCTGGCTAACGATGATGGCCCATGGGTTCAACAGGTCTTCCGCTCTCTGCTACAGAATGACCATGGCCTTATTGAGAAGGGCGTTGTTGAGGAGTGGAAGCCTCTAGAGCTGGCCACGGTGTTGAGCTCTTTGGCAGATGCCAAACTTTTGGACTCGTTCGAAGACTTCACGAAGCTGACCATTGAAGTGGTCATTGATACTATTACGACTTGGCGACCGACAGCTCAGAATGTCCTGGCGGTTTCCCAGATATCGAATGCCTTGTGGTCCTCTGGTCAGGAGGCCGTGCTCCCCATTGTTGAATGGGCCGTGACCAATGGCGATGCCCTCACACCTCAGAGTGAGAGCCGCATACTGTGGGCAGCTGCTAAGATGTTCGAGTCATCTGCCCTGCGAGAGCCGCCACCTAGTGTCGTGGCGTTCGTCAATGGTCTCGTCGACCGCTACCGCTCTCGGGAGCATCATCAGTACCAACAGCAGGACGTTGGCCTATTGGTGTGGGCTTTGGGTACACTACGATTATCCCATTACGAGTTGGAGGAGAGATGTTGTGTATTGGCAAGAGGCATGTTGAAGGAGGGTCGGATCGACAGCCGTCATCTGGCGATGGTCCTCTGGGGTATCACATCTAATGCTCATCGATCACCCTCGGCCATCGATCTAATTAAGGACGTCGTAGACCGCGTTGAGAGCAGTACGTTGAGTCCTCGGCCAGCTGATGTTACCATAGTCATTTGGTCCATGGCCGTGTTCGACTTGTACAGTGAAGAGGCTCTACAGAAGCTCCTAGAGGCATTGGTGAAGGCAGGACCAATGAGCAATGCACCCCCACGTACAGAACAAGGGGCCTCTCTTATTAGACTCCATCGGTCCCTGCTGTGGGCAAGGCTCTGTCACGGCTTCCAACCATCACCCTCTGAGGAAGCTCACGTAGTGAAGATCGCGCAACGGCAAAGGGCGCCTGGTGGCGGCCTTGTTACTAGCAGCACCTTGCAATGGGAGATACGCTCCGAGCTGCAAAGGGTCTTGCTTGAGGTGGCCCCAACGGCCAGTCTCCGCGATGAATATGAGCTTCCTGCACCTCTCGAAGGGATCTTTGTTGATCTTGCTGTCATAGATGCTAAGGAACAAGTGTTGCTTATTATCGAGGTCGACGGCTACTCCCACTTCTCGAAGTTGATTGGTGACAACAGACTCGCAGTACTGCAGTACAACGGCAACACTGAGCTGAGCAGGCGTATACTGCGTAAGGCAGGCTATGAGGTGCTCAGTATCAGTACGGTCGATTGGAACAACACACAACGGCATCGACGTGGCGAGTACTTACGGGAGCAATTAAGACATGTGATAGCTTAGATGCTGCATCCCTACGTTTCTGATTCACATCGTTTCGCAATCATGAGCTCGCCTTTTGCGTGAAGTGGGAATATTATTCACCTCGAAATGCAGGACATATGAAAGCATGGCAAAGTTGTTGCAGTTTTAATGACTTCAACTCCCTGGGCAGCCGGTCGATGGCGACATGCCCTACGTTCGGTTCGAGCACTCGTAGTGGTTCGGCAATGCCTCCCGTATGATCCCTTCAAGCTGCGGAAGACGCTGTTGGACGCTAGTCGACGACAACAGAAGGACGGTGAGGCGTGTCTGCTGTTCACCCAACACCTTCCTTATTGGTCCCTCCCTCAGATGTCCTGACCATCTGCCAACAGGTGGCCGTCCCTAATTCCGCGATAGATGCGTCTCGCCGGATGCAGCTGCTCACAACGGCGTTACACCGTCTGGTCAAGCATTTCCATGGAGCTCATGCAGGGCTCGTCGATGCTCTCTGTGATGAGGTATCAAGATCTCTCCGATTGACTGATATTAAGACCAATGAGATCGCTGACGTTTTATGGTCCATCGGAATGGTTGGCCCTGGTCCCTCACGTACTGGTCTTCTCAATGCCCTAAGACCCGCCATCATTCCTTTGCTCAAGGAGGCTTCCTCGAGTCAACTCAGTAACGTCGCATGTGCCATAGCTAAGTTGGACCTGGACTGGCACGATGAGGTCCGCGAAGTGCTGTCACAGTGCAGAGACCGGCTCGGCGTTCAGGGAACCCCCGCTGGTGTGGTATCCAACATGTGCTGGGCTGCCGCACGATCTGGTGTTCGTGATGATGCCTTCCTCCGTGAGGCAGCAGCGATGTGGTTGTCTCGAGATCCAGCATTAGTACCGCCGTCAGCAACGGCAATGCTCTTCTGGTCACTAGGCAAGCTTGCCCCCGATGAACCCTATGTAACGGACCTCTTCTCAACCGCCCGAGGCCATCCGCAACTCATAGCCGACTTCGGTTTACGAGAATGTTCGTCGTTTCTCTGTGGCTACGCCTATGTCGCTACGACAGCACCATACGAGGGAATCTTCAAGGTCGCGATGGCATCTCTAAAGGGAGGCCCCAGAAGTCACCCCTCGACACAGACGATAACTAACTGTTGTTGGGCGTCGGCGACTCTGGCGAAGCACCACGAGTCGATAAAGTCATCAGCGAGCTGCCTAGTGGGTAGTTTGGTGGCTCTGGTGTTGAACCTCCAAATCGACGCTTTCAGTCCTCAGGAAGTATCCAATATTCTCTGGTCGACAGCACTGCTCCTCGGTAAGGACATTGTAGTCGACTTGGCAAAGTTTCTGCTACCTCACACGCCTGAACAGATCCTTGCATACACTGCCCAGGACCTAGCGGTGTGTATGGCCGCTCTGACTCAGGCTGACTCGCTCGGTGATTTCGAGAGTCCTTTTGTCAAGTGCGCACTGCAAAGAATTGAGCAGAGCATCTTTGATTGGCCTTCGGATGCTACCCACGTACATGCCGTAGGGCAACTGGCTTGGTCCATCGCTGGTCGTCCCTTTGGAGAGATCACCCCTCTCGTGGAATGGGCTACTGCCAACCCGGTTAATGCTGAAGCCTTTGTAAAGGTCCTCTGGTGCACAGCTTCAACACCCGAGGCCCAGCAGGGTTCTCTATGGGACTCGAGAAAGCTCGTACTCTTCCTCGATGGTTTCACAGAGAGACACCTCAGCGAGTCTTCCCACTTCAAGCAGCAAGAGCTCGCCTTGATAACCTGGTCTCTGGCCACACTACGGATCTCCCATCAAATGCTCGAGGAGCATTGCTGTCATCAGGCCAAGGACCTCCTGCTTACTTCTGGCATCACTAGCTCACACCTTTCAATGCTCCTCTGGGGCTTGGCATCAAACTATCACACTTCTGCTCCAGCTAGTGAGCTGATACAGGAAGTTGTAGCGCGTGTTCGGTCCAGAGAGCTCCGCTTTGCTGCGGCTGACTCGTTTCACGTTGCGTGGTCTTTGGCCGCCTTCGACGTCTTTGACCCGCAGTCGCTTGAGGTCCTCCTGTCGGCGGCAGCTACGTTCGAACTAGACGGAGCCGCTCTGCAGAAGATCAACCAAGTCTCGATGTGGTCCTCGTCCCACGGTTACGAACCCACCCCTATGATAGTCGAACTATTTCATAGAGCTGCGGGGTCGGCCCAGCGAGATGCCAGCGTTATCGATAGTGCATTTCAAGACCAAGTCACAACTTGTTTGCGACGAGCAATAGGCAACAGTGACTATGAGTATAGGGTGGTGTCAGAAATGGACCTCACTAATCTGGGGTGCCCAGGAGTCATAGTAGATCTGGCAGTGACTCGATGCGAGTCTGCCGATGAGTGTTCACGGGACGAGGAGCTCCCTCTGATCATTGAAGTCGATGGGCCTTGGCACTACGTCCGCTCAATAGGGACGAGTTTACCCCCCGGTCAGAAGTTGTGTGGGAAAGCCGTGTTGAGACGGAACGCGCTGAGGCGGCTCGGGTATGATGTAGAGGAGATCAGCTTCGCTCAGTGGAGTCGGTTGGGTAGAGAGGAACGGCAAAAGTATATTGAGTCTATTCTAAAAGGACGATTGAATGCACGATGAGGGTGTCTGCAATTTCTTTCACGTTTCTGAATATTTCGCGTGCCCTGTGTTGTAGTAGCTTAACTGAGGACTCCAGTGGAGTCACTCCACCCCTTCCGCGTTGGTACAGATCTCCCAGCGATTCCTCGGTCGTTGTGCCGTGGCTCAGTGAATGATCCTGGGATGTCGAGGCAACCTCTATTACCTATTGAAGCTGACGCCGTCACTCCATCCACTGCATAGACAGTGATGGCTCACGACGGCTTCGTCTCGATGGCAAGACTGAACTTCTGCGCCGATTGGTAAAATTGCACGGCTACCGCCTCTCATTCACTTCGTTACTATTTCGTGGAGGTTCAGTCAATTCTACCCAGAGAATTACTTAGGGAACGTATTGACGAGACGCTCACTGGCGTGAAGACCGTCTTTCTGAGTTCTGTTTCGGCGCGAGTTAACAACTGATGCGCTGTTGGGTGTGTGAGGTGTCTTCTCGGATAGGTTATCTCCTGGATATTGAACTCGGATACTGATCCCTATCGGCGTGTTGACGAGGGAAAGTACGAGAAAATCATGTTGACCTCTCTCCGTATTTCATGGGCTCGGCGAGACCGGGAGATGCCTAGTTCCATCGAGCTGAAGCGGCTTCTGGATATCCGTGAAGAGCAAACGGATACTGGCAGATTTGTACGCGATGGATGCACTTATTGCAACCACCGAGGAAAAAGTGAAACATAGAAGAGGAAATCTTCAGGCCGCGGCAGCTCAGGGGTGTGATCTGTCGGCAAATGGCACAATAAAACAAGATAACTCTGTGAGTATCAGGACGTCATGGAGTCCGCCGACTTTCGATGAAGTGCCATTCAAACATTTCTCGATTGATGCCAGTTTCATTGTGAGAGACAAATTCCTAATGATAAGTGCAGTGACGGGATCGCGCCCGCCGAGCTGGAGATCTGGTCGCCAGCGCCTCTAGAGACCTAGCGTCTACGACCTCTAGCGGCGTCCCAAGGTCATCAGAGGTGGCCCTGCTTGGATTGGACACATCTCACTCTCTTCCCGAGTACATTAGAAGGATGAGAGTTTATAGCGTATACTATTGATGTCAGAGTATTGCCGTCATGGTATTGCGTTGTATTCAAATTTTTGATCTGCGAGTTTGGAAGGGGCAGTTGCCAAAAACTACATTACGGAACCTGTACACTGGCTCCGTGATTCGTGGCTTTCGGCTACTGCAAGATGTTTCTGATCTTCTAACGCAGGCCAGACCAGAGGTGGACAACTACCTCTCGCTAGACCTTGGTTGGAGAGAAAGGGGAAAACCAGAAAATAGCCTCGGACCATGACACGAAGGAACTCGTGTCCTTCGCTGAGCCCACCACATTCTCCACGTTCGTTCATAATCCGCGAACACCCAAAACTAGCGACAATTGATGTGCAAAAAACTCCACAACATCAAGACGCGAACAGAAACTCTACGACTGGTTTTCAAATACGGAAACACTGCGATGCTGTTTCGCCTCCGATTGATTATCGCGTGGGCTTCAAATCCACACCCAGTTTTCAAGTTCGCGTGCAATTTGCCGATAGCACGCATGGCAGACGATCCCAAAATCAAATGGAAAGCATGTCACTGCGTCATCGCCGTTTATTGGTTTGTGCCAAATTGTGAACTAGCATGGTGTTATCTACTTCGGAGTTACACAAGCTGGTGTAACTCTCCCCACTAACTGCAACACTTCAACTGCGTGTAGGAAACGATCGAAGTACGAACTATTCGCTGTTAAAAAGAGCAGTGATTCCAACCACGTCGACAACCGCACATGGTAGTATACGTCATGGCCGTCGTTTAGGAGACTGTCGTTTCTCTGACACCTGTCGACATTCTATCCTAGGATTTGACCGCGGCCACATCTTTTCGAGGATTACTCTCAACAAATCCACATCATCTCGTGCGGAGCTGATGGATCGTTCCCTCCCGCGCTGAGCATGGAGTCTTCGAGGCAGTCCATAAGCTGTAAAGATAAGGCACTAATCACGCGACGTACTTGCATCCTGTACTCACAGATCTTAGTTCGAGTAAACGCTGGCTTGCCGACGGCCGAAGCGGTAAGCTGTCAACACCTGAGGAAAGAAAGTACAAAGAGACCCAATACGGGGGGTGGACCCGACCTGTTGTCCTTCCCACTCCTCACACAGTTCCCTCGCCATTCTGAGTAGTTCCGATGGCAGGCCAGAAAGAGGCAAAGGGACTTCGTCATAAAGGAAACTCTCCAGAATCCACTGAGAGCAGCGAGTCACTTTCATCCCAAAAAAGGTGAATGCGAACCTTCGAATTCACTGCATGGGGTTACTACTTGCCAACCGAGACAGCTGCTGTAGGACCGTGGTCTGGAGAGGCGACGAACAAATCGTGTGTGAAGAGCTCACCAGCTGAGGAGCACTTATCGTGGATGTGTCCCCGCAACGAGAGGAGTAATGATCGGTCATGTGTTGTTTCAAGGGAACAAGCTGTTCACTATGTGGCCTATAGGCAGTACTCAACAAGTATGAGAGTACGGCCTTATAGCATTTTCTCTAATGATGTAAACACAATGGTGCAAGACCAAGAGCCTGTATATACAGTTACCTTGGCAACCGACTGCTGCTTCTAGGACGACGACGAGGAGGAGGAGGAGGGCCAGTGGGAAAACAAGACAGTGAGATAAGTTGAGTTACTCAAGACGTTATAGCCTACCGCCACCGACAACAACAGGGTTATGGTCTTTTAAGGTCGTCGTCAGCGTTAGCACTGCGAATAGCAGTGGGGAGTCAAACAATAATGATAATACGCATACACGGCTCGGATGGTCTCCTCACAAGACGATGTACATCTGTAGATAGCTTGAATACGAACCACGAACACAAGCTATGGTCCTACTTGAGAGGCGGTCGAGTCCTCCGGGAGCTGCACACGCTCCACCTCTGTCCCGTTTATCGTGGTATCCAATACTCTTATGTTAACTCTAGCATAGTGCTCCTCAGGTATGGGCACATGCTCCCATGGCCGAGTATAGACGAACCGAAGTTGACAATATCCAGGCCTTACTGCCTGAGCTAGATCATACGCGGTAGAGTATCATAAGGCGGCTCACTTGATAATAAAAATAATAAATTCCACCGGTGCCCACATACCCTAGAGGATGGGGATTCACCTGTGTAGGAGTATACATGTGGGAGCTAAAGGCTGATGCTGCTCACCTTAAAAACTTGGGCTAAGTACCTTACAACCATTGAGGCATTCTCTACAGTAAATGATGATGATGATGATAATCGTCGTTCAAGTCCGTTCTTGGACACTATCGTTTCATGGCCGCTATCACTGTTCTCGGGATGGGCTCCAGGCTGACTTCCGGTACTAGTCTGTACTTCAATACTGCCACGCCGATCAGCGTCCTGCCAGCTGTACCCCGTCGTGGGGTTGCCAACCAGGGATACTTCGATGACTTCGCCTGACAGGCCGCAAATGATAAAATGGTATGTGGAATATGATGACCTCATGGTTATTAATAATTGGTTATTCATATCTTGATAATACATAGAATGAACATTTTAAGATTTCATACATATGTAAACATAATGTGGGTGGATGCTGTGAAAGTGACGATATTACTCACCAACGTTGGCTGTGAGGTTGACCACTGAGCCTGGCGCTAGCTGATGACGTACTATTCCCTGCATAGACGTAGGCAGGTGGTGGCCTCTGAGGGCCTCTGGCAGGACGACCTCAGTAGGGGAGATGCGGGGAGGAGAGAAGTGGCGATGGGCTCGCCCAGCAGCAACAGCAGCAGTCCTGGCCCCTCTTCCGACACAATCCACTGAGCAAGAGGAACCCCATGGAGTACCGAGGTATGATGACCATAACGAGAATAAAGGTTGGCGTACAACTGGTGACTATGAAAATGCAGGCGTCCCTGCACGCTCCATGTCCAACGAAACAGCTTATTCAGTCCAATCTTCACTTCACGAGATGGGGAGTATAAAAACACATGTCGCAACTGAATCCGGCTGTTCTGGCCTTAGTGAACCTGTACATCTAAAACAACGGGAAATTCACCTGAATTCAACCAAATTTCCATCGTGTAGATCTACACCGGCTCCTTGTCGCCTCAAGCCACTTTTATTCCTTTTTTCTTCTCCCCTCGAGCTGTACGACTATCGCACCGTTAGAGATCTCAATCTCGCCCGCCGTAAACACTCCTTATTCGCGGTGATGAATAATAACCCTAATATATTTGGTCCAGTATGCGCATTGTGTGACCGTGAACTAAGGATAATTAAAGTTACGACTCCTTTTGATTCTTCTCACTCGGCTGCCCTTCTACGAAGGCCTGCCCCTGTTGTGAAGTTCGACTACGCTATCCACCGAAGTCTGGCTACTAGTTGTGTTGCCCAGTGACTGGCACAACATTCTATTTGATAATATATATTTTATGGTATATACAAGTATGTCGTCCCCTCACGAAGGCCGATATTTGGCCGGTTGATGACCAAGGCAGATATGATCGTGTGGAGCTCCGGGCCGGTGTGCGTTATGGATATCGGAGACTCTCATGCCGCAAACCAAGTTGAAGGTTGAGGTGGCAGATGATGACAGATGAGATCGATCGTCTACCCGTAGCAACTCACGACGCTATATTGCCCCTTGGGGCAGTACCTGGAGACCAAGCCTGGAACGACGAGTGTCAGCAGCCACAAGGCAGGCCTTGGTCATACCAGGAGGGGTCTCCCTCAGGAGGGGCCAAACAACAAGAATGAACATAACGTGACCCTGGTATTAGCGATTGACTCAATACAAATCAGAGGGGTGCTGCATATAACGTAAACCGATCAAGAATAAGAGTGAGGCAACGACGGAATACCATCAGTGCTAGTGAGGACGATCAGCAAGCCTGGTGTGGTATGTCCAATAAGAGTCGTCTCGTTAGCCCAGTAACGAGCTCTCGTTCAGTGAGATCTCGTCTCTACCCTGGAGAGCTTCCCGAGCGACTAACACTCATCTCGGAGTTGACCCACTGCGGGTTGACCGCAGCGCTACTGGACGAAGAAAATGCTGCATGACAATTATGAGAAAGGGTACTAGCCCCGACAAGGGTAGTAGTATCACAAGGGAGCCAATCTGTGTCTTAATAATTCCAATGAGACGTATAATGTAGAGTACATCAAAACAGATAAAGGGCGTCATAATCAACCTTAGGGTTGCCATATAGCAAAGACCAAATAGATTGTATATGTAGCGATAAGAACGTAACCAGCCGTACCTGGTGAAGGAGACACTCCCCATACCTATCGCCCAGTCATTTCCACATCCCTACGATCAAGAGTAAACCTGCCCTTCGCAACCAGTACTAGAAGTACCAATAAAGTCACGGCCATAGCCAGGACATTGGCGAGGATACCTGTCGGGGATAATAATCCCATTCATCGTGATCAAAGAAAACTGACCTTTCGCCGAGACATTGAATGCATGCGGGCTTGATAGGATGGTTGTGATGGTCCATGGTAGAGCTAGAGCCACGAAGATGTTCTGGATGTTAGAGCCCAGGGCATTGGCGATAGCCATAGACGACCTGAGCACCAGATCAGATCCATCCTGAGCTGAGGTATTGAATCCACCTGCCGGCCCTAGCCATTATCAAACTAGCGTAAAAGTTTGGGAAGCTGGTCCCGACAGCACAGACGGTGACGCCCATCATAGCTGATGGTATCCCGAAGGACTCTGTGATGCGATCAGCAGAGTATACCATGAGGTAAGAGAACACCTAAAGGGGAAGTGTACTGCTGTATCGAGGTCATCGACCTACAGCTAGCCATAGCATTGCCAGCAGGAACTCTGGCAACCATCGGGACCTTTTAGTGGCATCTCGAACGTCGCAGAAACCCATAGTGATCGCCAGACAAAGGTGTATAGGGAAGCATAGTATATGCATAGCCTAACCGCAAGAGTAATAGTAGTAGTAGTAGTAGTAGTAGTAGTAGTAGTAGTAGTAGTAGTAGTAGTAGTAGTAGTAGTAGTAGTAGTAGTAGTAGTAGCAGTAGTAGTAGTAGTGGCAGATCCACCAAGGATGTGTTACCTTCCATGACCATCTCCAGACCAGTCCACCCTCATCATCACTCAGTTGATGACAGATTCTGACAAAAACAACACCACGAGCTGAGCATGCCTTGTATTCCGATGAGGGCACATCCTACTGGCGCAAGCATGGCTTCAAACCACCAGCATATGCTCTCTCCGTTACAATAGCAAGCTCGGCCAGTAGTCTATCCTTCTCCTGCAGGCAGGCGCCCCTCAACAATGCGTTCCTCGAGGTGATCAGTCTCACTGTGTGAGTCTCAGTGTCGACCACAATGGTTATCATACTGTCCTCGTCCTCCCTCCCATGCGACCAGAATCCGTCCATCTCCACCAGCGCATGTCCGCCACTACGGTAGGCTATGGGCTTCAATACAAAGTCCTCATGTCGGGCTGGAGGCAACCTGATACTATACTTCAGGCCATTTCAAGCTGACTGCTACTCTCCTACCTTTGCTGCCCTGTAGGGGAGATCTGCTGATAATATGATGATGACGTTTCCACCTCGGTGCTCGCCACTGTAGGTGACGTCTGCAATCATGAACCTCAGAGGGAATACGCGGCATAAAACTCACCGCATGAGGAAAGACTTCTTCCCGAGGCCCTGCGTGATAATGCTGCGACACTGAAGTCGGTGTTGAAGGACGATAGAGTAAATACACCACATTCGGGCCTTCAACCTAGGATACCATTCTGCATCTTCACGCGCCACAAAATTCTAACCCTCACATAGACTCTCTCAGATAACAATAACACAGCTCCATCGCCCGAGGGGGTGGTGACACTCTGAGAATCACCAACATCCAGAGATTAGCAACACAAATTCCTTCCTCACCTGGATTGGAAGAGCCTTCCTAAAAGGCCCGTCATCATCACTGTCTGTCGAGGCAGCTTCCAACAATGGTTTCTTCAACACATCTGTTAACACGATGAACGTTGACTTGTAGTAACCATAACATACTAGTCTTCAGCTGGTCAATCCACGCCGTTATTCTTCTAGTATAAGCCACGACTGTAGCGAACAACGCGGCGCACATGAGGAGTGTCAAAGCCTCTAGGAGAGACACTCTACCGTCCCACAGAGTAATCGCCAACAAGACCTAACGTACCATGGCATAGCTCGAACATACTATAGATATATTACAATTGATAGCATGTAAAAGGTAACATCACGTATGAATGCAGGTCTGTGGATCAATAAGGGCAACTGTGGTGACACCAATACCGAACCACCTATTATGGCGAGAAGATTGAATACCTCAGAGCCTATGATAGTCCCTGAGAAATATAACTGTAATTTGCCAATAACACTTATTCACTACCAATGCCAACATCCGAATGAGTGATGAATATCGATATCAAGTTAGTGAAGAGCTCTGGACCGTTGCAACCCAACGCCATGAGAGTAGCACCCGCGACATCCTCGGGGATGTGATACCGCGATACGACTACCTGCAGCATTCGGGTTGGTTAATAAGGACTACAGGAACGACACTACTTTGATACTCTCGATAAAGTAATCATCACAAACAGTTGCCTGAGCTTTGAACATATACCTGATGCACGATGCAAAAGTTCCCACCACAACTCCAGTTATTACGCAATAAGCAACCACCATAACCAGGCAGACCATGATGTGGCAGTAAAAGAAAAAGAAGAGACCTCACCACTCTCGCTCTCATCCACCAGACCTACACAGTGTGGGATGCCTCACTAGACTCCATCATATCATACCTTCATTCAGCATAGTACCCTCTACTACCAATAGTGCCAGAAATAGTAGGAGTGCAGGCCTCGGTGAAGGCATGTAAAAATACAAGTACAACTGCGATACCGTGTTGGCGACCACAGGGCATCCCAATGGGCAAACACTCCAATACAAACAGACTCGTATCAGCCATACAGGCGGCCCTTGACATATTCGACTGTTTGGCCGGCAATTAGCTGCTCGATATAGTCGGCTCCTTGCTGTTCCCTAAACTCGTCCGACACATCCTCCCACACCTTCCTAGCCTCTTCATCATCTCCCCGAGGAGCTCCTGTCCGATGAGGATCTACCGACTGCTAGCATTCCACAGTCGAAGGCCGTTGACCTGGCAATGATAATCCTGATAAGAAAAGCCCAGCTAATCCTTACAGCATGTGGTAGGTCTATTAGTTGGCCCGTATTCTCGTCATCAGCGCGGTAGTAGTCTATAAGATTCTCAAAGATCGGGAACATTTGTCTGGAGAGAGCAATCTCTGATAATACGATACTTGTCAAAAACAGTAGTGACCAGACCAAGCTGCAATAACCGTCTGAATACCGCCTCACACACGGGCTGCTCCAACTGCTCCCTCCATATTGCTACACCATGAAAACCATTGGAGGGAATACGGACGTGGTCGGTGACGATATAAAAATATGAGAAAATTTTTGGAAAATTCTTGTTGGTTTCCGTACACCTCCACCCGGATTCGTATGTAGGCTCTTATAATCAGTGGGGAAACTCCTGGAGGAAAGCGACCATATATTCCCTCAACACTGGCGAAAACAATTCCCTTCACTCTGCGGTCGCCTCGGAGTATTACCAAATTTCTTATCCCTAAACTGCAGCACCGGATCCAAGGTGACCTGCGACTGCCTCCATGTTGGATGATCCTTGAAGTTGTACTCGAGGAACTTCGAACAGGGCTCATCCGAGTACCTACCAATACACCAATCTCGTCCATCACCGCTACTCATGCCTACATCACTTGACAAGTACCCATTATAGGCGACAGAACTCCGTTATAATCTTCCATACAAATGGAACCACAAGCACTGAACTGGCATTACTCGACAGTGTCGCCCTCTGAATTCTCACAGGTTACGGCAACTCCCATCTTCCCTTTGCTCTCTGGGGAAAAGGTATCGATGTATCGCTAACGAAAAAGAACTAGTGGTGTCAATCCATTAGATTTTCCTATGAGATCCTAAGAGCTCCCACCAAAACTCAAAAAAATATAAAAAGTAAAAAACGTCGATCTACCTGGGTTCCATTACTACTTACCACCCGAAGACCTAGTAATCCCCTTAAACCAATCCTAAGCAAGTCAGCCCATCGTCGCGAATTCTCCAGGGATCACGACCTCGAGCCTTTCCTTATCCTCACGGGATTCCATAATGTGATAATCGCCAACTTTCACTGGGTTCCCAATATTTGCAGTTGGAGCTTACGTAATACCTCTCCAATTAAACTACACATTACTATTACAATAATAATAAAACTACTACGAGATGCTTCCTCTCTACCCATCAGATCTGTGATACATAACTCAACACCGATTCGAACTGCAACACATCACATAGTAATAACACAGCATGCTGGTGAACTTAGAAATCTGTGCAAGGTAACAGCCTCGAGCGGCCACCAAATACCTCGGCGATCACTGAGCCACTACCTAAACCTCTGCTGTGACCGCCTTCTCGATCAATGATGGAGGTAAACTGTAAGGTATGACGAATTCCTTCTGTCATAACTGCTGATGAGTATATCGGTCTCGATGCGTTGCTCTCTCGATGACAACGCAAGGAGCTCATCCTTGCATGATCAAGCCCTCATAGTGTCGCGGCACATGCCTGAATTGTAGGCATAACTCATTCGGGCTCGGGGACCCGAGGCAGTCATCAACCATGAGCAGTACTTATCGGATCTCACCCATCTGCCATAATCGCCCAACGCTGACTGGTTCTATAGTACTACAGTCCGATAACCAATGCTCGGAGAATCCGCAATTCCGACTTGAACAGTGAGCGAAGGATTCACTTCGACGACGCCGACGAGGGGAGCCTCTTCCCAGAGAGATTCGTAGTTCGATCGATCGCGGTCATCGTGGAACCCCTCACATTATGCCTACTGAAAACAAAGGTACTCATTGACAGACAATAACAGCAGCATGGTCGTCCACTCCTGCAGATCACGGAATTCGAGGACATGATGGTTAGCAGAATACAATCAACAGTAAATAAAGCCTCCATGATACCCACCAGCAAACGGCCTAACAAAAACGCATCTCGTGGTTATGGAGGTAATCGGCGTACCTTTGATCGGCTTGAGTGAATGTGAAAGGTGTGAGCGGCTTCTCTGACACGAGATTCCTGTAACTGATCAAAAACAGTTAGTAGCCATTCTCGTCTACTATACCACAGCTCAGTTTTCGCATCACTCCGATAGCGATTAGTGATGCCTACCATGTCCGCTGAGCAGCGAGATGAGAAGGCCTTCTCTGTTCTGGGCCGCTGTGAACGTAGAAGTCTTCAGACCTCCGCGCCTGTGGTTGGTGACTTCGACCTCTTAGCCGAGCCCCCTCTCTACGAGCCATTGCCACCACTGGTAGCTGATCGATGTAGAACCGCAGCCTGAGCAAGTTGCACCGCGCTACAATATTTATGGTAATGCAATAGCTCTCCTAGGGGAAATCATTTCACGCTCCAATTTGCCGCCACTCAAATTCCAGGCTTACGGGTTTCTTGGTTGTGATCGTTCGCTCCATGAAGGATTCCGGGGTGGATTCTGGACGAACTGAGGAGCACAGAAGTCGCCCTTGAAGACTTCCAGAAAAGAATGAGATGAATTCCCTTACCCCAGCGTTGAAGTTGGGGCCCATGATATTCTCTTTGCGTCTGGCTGCTTCAGTAGCCCTCTCGGCCAGCAAGGTGGATCGTCCAAACCCTGGTGGAGCTGCTGAAGTGGCATCCAGTGACTGAAAGAACCCCCACAATGAAGTGGTGACAGAATAGTGAGTCCCTATCGGCGACTAGGCACGCCAAGAAGGACAATGTCAATGTGGGAGGACCCCTGTTCGGGAATGACAACTGACCTGTGCCGACCATGCATCTGCTAAAGATACCAAACTGTGAGCTCGTCGTAGTTTAGCGGGGGAACTCGCCGTAACCATGAAATGTCCGAAATCTGCGGTAGTAACCCATCAGCCCAATACAAAGGGGCATCATGACTCATGAAGACAATATGTTTACGGCGTACTACTGCAATATTCTGAAAGTGCATAGACGTTGTACATGATAATACCATGATACCATGCCATGTCCATACCATGATGGTATGGACAGGCGATCGTCTTCGCTCTCGCGTGACGCAGCCGACGTTGGTTTCATGATCACGTTGAATTTTTATGCTACATGTTTTGAAGAGCTTTTGAAGAGTGTTTTGAAGTACACAGCTAATGGTTACCTAACGATCTCCTGTTGTGAAAATCATCATATAGTTGAGGAATGGTGCTATTCTTCCCAAGAAATAGGGTGATTCAGTAGTCTGAGGCTCAGATTCCGAGCTCTACAATCCAAGTAGTGTTACCCGAATGCTTAAAACGGGCGGGCAAGTATTCTCCCGGAAAAATAACACGCAAAAATTCGGTGTTTTATGTGCAGGGTCCAGACCAGTTCTAAAAAGAGCCCTTACCCAGACAGCAATGAAGTCGAGGGTCCTCCAAAGACCTGCTGCGCGAGGCACACTCTCACGGAATTGTAAGTTGTCACGATGCGCTGAGCGGAGCGATTCGATTCAGAAATGGAATTTTTCATCTTGGGTGGAAAGGGTGTTGCAAGTGTTGGTAAGGTACAATGTTCCCGGGCTGGCAACGTATACGATTGTATTCGGGTGGTGAGGGAGAGACTTTTACACGTTTCCAAGATGCATTTCGGTCTTAGAAAGGTCACCTCCTCCAGGTGGGGCCGCTATGCCACCGCAAGACATGTCGCACTACATTATACTCCGTTTTCTTCCCCCTTGGGGAACCGACATTCTCTACAGCAATTATCTGTGAGATTGTTTGTACTTGCAGCATATTTTAGGGTGGCATAGCTGCCCCAACGGGGAAGATTGACCTTCCTACTTGACACTTCGCACACCTGCCACTTTGATTCTACTTGCGGCATATTTTAGAGTGGCATAGCTGCCCCGCCCGGGGAGGTTGATCTCCTTACTTCGCACACCTGCCACTTTGATTCTACGTGCGGCATATTTTGGAGTGGCATAGCTGCCCCACCCGGGGAGGTTGATCTCCTTACTTCACACACCTGCAACTTTGAGTCTACTAGCGGCATATTTTAGGGTGGCATAGCTGCCCCGCCCGGGGAAATTGGTTCGCCCTAAGAGCGAAATAAGTCTTCAGGAATTCAGCAGGGGTAAGAAAAGGTTGAACTCCGGGACCCGCCCTCTGGTAAAGTCTGCCATAATTCGCCCTATAAACACCCCCTCGATAGTCGTGGGGAGAAGTGACGAGAAGTTACCTTCTAGCTGGTGTGGCTCAGTAAGTTGAAAGTTTTTTCCCCTGAATGAGCAGTGACGGCCCTGATAGTGAGCCATCACTGTGTAAAGTGTCATTGACGAATGCGGAACGTCGGGAAGTCGATGCCAAGGGCAATCTGTTCAGTATCATCAAAGCAGTTGATGCGGTGGAGAAAGCCTTTGCCACCGGTAGGACTCTCATGGATCATATGGGAGGGAAGTTTGCTACTAGGCCTCATTGGAGACGATAGCTACGAGAAGCAGTATCAACTACTCCTAACACAGTACAAGGTATCTAGGCTCTGTGGATGCTGTTCTCTCACTATGATGCAGGTCATCACGACCGCCTTGACACAAGGCGCTAGTCCATTCGATGTGGAGAAGTTTATTAAGGACAATCACATGCAGGTGGGATCTTTTAGGAGCTCTGATGGTATTTAGATCACAACCAGGTCCACTACGCTAGAGTACGTTTGCTTGGCACGCAGTTGCCGGCCACCAAGATGTATCATAGCGGCGAGAAGGTATTAACGATGTAGTAGGGCTTTTATTTCTCGAGGACTGCGAATTTTCAGGGTTCTCCCGATACTGTACACATTCTTGACGCTGGGCAGAATTTTGTCACCTTAGTTGATTGCCTGAAAATGGAGATGGTAGTGTCTACTTCTGGTATGGTAGTATGGGGCCTGCTACTAGGTATCAGTTGACGACCTACTGCCTATAGTAAGAGAGCTCTGTGGCAGTTTGGCTAGTATATCCTCTTTACCTGTTGACTTCGATGCTAAGGTAGGTGTGCACAGTATTACTGGGGATCACTCGGACCCCGAACTTCGGAGTGTTAGGTGAACATCCAGAAGTGGCTTACCAAGCTCAACTCGATGCGTGCTACTGATAAGCTGTCAGAGGTGACCGCTGCCGGAGTCCTGTGAGGTCGAATTACCCTTCTTCAGGAGGACGCAAGACAATTCTCTTTGGAGCTGGATGGTGACTATGCGGCCTTCCATAAAGCAGTGCGGGACATACGGTGATTACCCAGGCTATCACCTCCGTCTGATGTACCCTTATTATCATACTTGACATTATTTTGTAGTTTTCTTGAAAGATGTGTCTTGAGCTGTTCATACTTGGGAAACCAGTCTGTGCATGGTGGAGGTCAATGGGATGAGTCATAACGAGCCTTTTTCTGCTCATTTGAGTGCTTCGACGGTCTTGCATCGTCGGTGTCGCCCTGCTAAGTGTCTTAGCGTTGCCACTCTAAAGCTAATCTAGTTTTTGAATCCATGGACGGACTGTATGAAGAAGGATTAGAGGAGTGAGTGCTTTGATCCCCCCACTGAGCTGGTACTGACACACTCCAGGCTCTCACCTTTGCCATTGGCCAGCGGTCAAGAAGGGTATCTTTCTGGTAGTGGAGGCGGTATCCTATACGATAGGTTACAGAGGATCTTCAGACTTTATACCACTGATTCCATGTATTGGGGAACCGTCGGTCGTATTGTAATAGCTCTGGCAGGTACTCTTTCCGTATAACGAATACAGGGCAGCTGGAGCATCTCTATTGGGGACCGAACATTCCACCAGAGGACGACTTAACTTTCCTCTCCCTCAATTCTCTTACTATGGCGAGTCCCTTCGATCCAACGGGACAAGCTGAGCCTGTTGGGATTCGAGTAACGACTGGCATTGATAGGATTATTGGAGGCTCAGTTGTGTAGGAATTGACGTCGGATACTGGCAAAAAGCTGAAGATCGATGACTTGAGTGAACGGTGGAAAACGTACACAAGAGAGGCGAAAAGCGGTGTTGGTATCAACTATCACTGAACTCCCTAGAGTACTACTTAATGGTCAGGAGAGGATGTGAGGCGAGAGAATGCTTTCTGGCGGCGCTGGAGGATGGCTCAACTTGGTCGTGGGGACCACTCTAAGGCTGATGATGACGAAAACAGTAGTACTCGCACTCCTGGGTTCAACATTGAATTCTACATTGACGTGTTTGAGACTGCTGCTTCCTGTTACACCTCACTGGCCAAGTCCTTCAGGTCCCCTCCATACCCGGGGGTCAGGGAGTAGTCTCAGCATCTTTAAGCGGCGATCTAGTAGGCGTTTGGGTTACATCGGGTACCTTAGGTGTCTCAACTTGCTTAGATACAATTGACAGCGAGCCGTGTGATGAGCGTGCTCCATTGGAGTACGGCACTGATGATAAACCCAGTAAGTTCCAGATTTATGGGCTCATGCATCATCGTGGTTTGGTAAAGCCTACCAGAACAAGTCGGGTTGTCGCAGGCCCCGACCAGGAGGCAGTTGGACGGGTATCGTCTCCTTTGGGAGGTTTGCAGCAGGTTTACTATAGGAAGGGTCAGCTCAGTTCACCACGCAAAGACACTGCTAGCTGTACAACTTCATTATAACTGTATTGGAAGTCAATTGCTTTAGGGGTGCATCAGCACGCCCGTCGCCAGAGGGGATTTACCGCTGGTGTGCCACCATTGGAGAGGTTGAAGTCCTTCGGCCCAGGGAGGAGGCCCTCGATGTATGCTGAGAGCCCCACTAGGTCTGAGGACGAGGTGGGATCGTCGGGATATCTCGATTGGAAGATCCATTCAATCTAGGCGGGCAGTACTCATGTTACACAGCAGATCATGGGTAAGAACTCCCTCATGTTGGAATATAGCGACTATGGTACGGGAGACTATAGACTACCCAGTTTCAAGGTGGGGTTTCATGATCCTTGATGGTTGCAGCTGAAGTAGGTACGGTATAATGCTGAGTCTGCATTGGGCCACAGTGATATCTCCCCTCTGGAGTATCGTGATCATATCATAGTCCGAGGCAAGCCTTCCATCGTGGGTGTACAAGACGCCTCACTCCCTCAAGTGAGCTCAAGCATCGACTCAGTCACAGTTGACAGACTGTCAGGTTCGCTGTGAGAACCAAATGGATGCAGTGACACTCGAACTGAACCTAGAAGATAGGGTCTCGGGTCTGATAGTCACTTTATACTACTCGGTCTTCCCTGAATGGGATGTGCTGGTACGACGAGCCAAGATGACTAACCCTCGGTCTGCCGCGTCACCAGTGGGCATTGATCGTTTCGTCAGTGTCACCACTGATTTTGAGGCTGGTAACTACTACTTCACACATTTTGGAGGTGGCCCCGTTGGCTACTGCAGTTGGGGTACGAAGGTTACTCTGTTATAGGCTCATGGGGGAGGGAGGGGCAGAGGATGAGCCAGGAGCTTTTGGCTGGCGCCATGACGATAGGGTCGACTCGTGGGGTGAGCAGCCACATGCACAACCCTATGGGTATCATTAGTAAAGGGCCGTATAACGAGGATGCTGGATACCATTGGGGATTCATATTCATGTGAGAGCCTTGCCTGACTGATCACGCTTCCCATTTTTGCCTGCTTTGCTAGGTACAGTGGTAGCTTTCTGATCGAGTGTGAGATCAACGAGACCAACAGGCTGAGGGTCAACGTTGGGTGGGTATCGTCACGTGGAGCATATTGTTATGTCTGCTGGTCTAGGTTCAACCCGATGACGTTTAAGTGGAAGCTTTTCCCAGGGGAATCACTGAGTACACCAGAGTCTCTGATCATTTTTAGTAGTTCGGGAGCTACTTCTCTGACTCACAAGTGCCACCGAATACTGCAGGATAGGATAATACCTCCGAGGTGAGGAACGTGGTGGTCCTGTGCTCGACTCGATCCTTAGATGGCGGTACACGCGGCCGCCTGTGGTATGCAATACGTGGGAGTCTATGTACTTCAACATCACTGATGATAGAGTAGAATAGGGGAGTTTGTGAGGCTTTAGAGTGTCCATGGCTCAGGTCATGCAGTTGGCTCGTCATGCTGCTGCAGTCGGGGCTGAGATGGTTGTCATTGATGATGGATGGTTTACTAATAGGAATGATGATACGAGAGGGTTGGGGGACTGGGAAGTTGACAAAGAGAAGCTCCCCCTTGGTATACCACATCTATGTAAGGCAGGATGGTGCGGAGGGGGTTCCATGTGGTCTTCTGTTTAGGTAACGCCATCAACCAGTTGGGTTTGGGTTTTGGTCTCTGGATAGAACCCGAGATGGCGTCCCCTGGTTGTCATCTACTACAGAAGTATAATGACTGCACATTACAAGCCAAGAATAGGCCGATGACTATGAGGAGGCATCAATTCCTGTTAGACTTTAGTCAAGAGAGGGTCAGACGATACGTCCTTAAGAAGTTGAGGTAAATGCTTATCATCAGTGGGGTGTAGTACAAGAGCTTGCCGAGGTCCATCCTATCGAGTTGCAACATAGCATATGTGAAGTGGGATATGAATCGTCATTTAACGGAGGCTCAGAGTGCTCTATTATCTGATGATAGACCCCAAGGGGAGACCATGCACAGGCATATGCTTGGAGTCTATCAGGTGAGGAGGTCAAGATATCAAGGTGACTACTTCTAATAAGGGTGCGGTCTCAGGTCCTCGACTCTATCACTTCCGAGTTCCCCCTGGTACGCTTTGAGACATGTGCAGGAGGAGGTGGCAGGTTCGATGCCGGCATGCTGTATTTTGGTCCCCAAATTTGGGCATCGGATAACACCGACGCCTGCTGTAGAGCACGTATACAATCGGGCCTCTCTGTGGGTTACCCCATGATTACTATGGGTAGTCACATTACAGCCACACCTAACCATCAAGTAAGACCCGTATGGATCTGCTGCTTCCTGCGATAGGTTCCTTTAGACTGGACGTATTCTCCCTGGTAACGTAAGGGGAGTCATGTCAATGCTTGGAGCTATGGGTGTCGAGCTGAACCTGATGAAGGCTGATGTCGAGCTCCTAGCGGAAATACGTGCTCTGATACACGTTTATAAGACAACACTGGACTTTGGTCTTCTGAGAGGAAATTTTTACAGACTGTGGGATCCCTTCGACTCACACTCGACACAGGTGAGAGGCTCCCAGAGTCATAGTCGCTGACGTGTCCCCACCTATGTAGGTATATGGTGCCGAGGTGACAGCCTGGATGCAGGTCTCAGAGGATCGGTCCCGTGCTGTGGTTATGGCATGTCTCCTGCACTTGAAAGAGGTCGGTTCATGATATCGGATGACGTATACGTCTAGCCAGCATTGGTTGAGAAAGTGGTATAGATCCGGCTCGGGCAGGGACTCACATACCGTCCATTCGTATTCATCAAGATTCGTCTCTTCGGACGGTAGAACATGAGCTCATATAGATACTCCATCCTGATCTGATAGAGCGTGTCGTTGCCGGCTTGGGCCCGGGAAAAGTTGTTGTTCATATCGGTCTGCTATCAGGTTGGTAAGATCATCCCAAGGCTTCAATTGAAGGGTCTATCAGAGGATACCCTATATGACATAATAGATCTCGCACCGAGCTCGTAGGTATTCCTTCAATCCTCCTCATTATCAATGATGCCTCTACAGATACGTCCGTAACCCACAGACTCTACAAGTTGTGTGTAATCCCGTACCGGTGTCCAAGTTCAGTGGTCTACAACTTAGAGGTGTCACTCTCATGAAGGCTGGCTTACCACTCCAATTCCTATTCGATGGGGATTGTAGTCTATTCGAGATCAGAAGTGCTGCCTTGGGCCCCCGACCGGGACCAGCTGGCAGTACCGACTTCAGCAGTCTCACGGGAGCTCGGAGTCAGGCCGCCCTCCATCAGCATTATTGAACTGCCCCTGTTTTTCTGTCATCACTGCTTATTTGTAGTAGACAATTTCTGGAAGGGGCTTATGCATGAGTACCACCGGAGGTTTCTCACTGATTGTGTTCTCTATAGAGTCATGTTATGTTTGGCGCCTTATCTGTGGTGTTAGTGATGCTTCTAACATGGGTCGTGGCAATCCTGGGGATTCCCCATCGGTTCGGTATGGCGACCTCTACCCTTAGTTGGGCGTTTAAAATTGTCCCTTCCCTTAGTGTGGCCCTGTACCCGAAATGGAGAGCATTTCTGAGAAGTCTGAGGGGTGAGAACGTCCGACAGGGGGGCTCGGTCTTCCTATACTCTACAACGTGCTTAGGACCAGCAGCTCATCATTAGAAGAATATGAGAGTAAGCATTGTATCGGTAGTGCTGCGAGCGGTATCATATACGACCGGAACCAGCGGATATTCAGGATCTACACAGCTGAGACCTTGTGAGGACTCGAAGCCTGTAAAATTCGGCACCGGCGTATTAGGTATACATTTCGTATAACAACTACTGGGCAGTTGGAGCATCTGTATTGGGGGCCTAAGCTTCCACTAAAGGATGATCTCACATTCCTCTCCCTGAACTCTCTGGCTATGGCTAGTCCATTCGATCCAACGGGACAAGCAGAGCCTGCTGGCATACGGGTAGTACGTCGATGGCTGCGTTTACTGTCACGCTTTGTTGAGATATATTTCATAGGAGCTCACGTCTGCCTATGGGAAGCGGTTGGAAGTGGAGGATCTCAGTGATAGATGGAAGACCTATAGTCGCGAGGCTAAGAGTGGTATAGGTGGGCCGTGCCATCGTGGCTGAGGCTCGGGGTTGGACTTTTCCTGATCGACAGGTGAGGACCTTAGACGAGAGAACGCCTTTTGGCGTAGATGGCGGATGTCTCAGCTGGAGAGGGCTGAGATGGAGAAGGAGAGTGAGCGTGCTCCTAGCGGTAGATGGTACTCATGCTTGGGCTCCCTCAGGTGATCAGAAAGAACTCGGAGTGGTGACCTTCGAGGAGTCCCCTCAGAAGTTATCAAGCTGTGAGCTGTGGCTCGTATGGCTCTTGTGGAGCATTTGAGATGTTCGTGTTAGGGAGGCAACAACACGTCAAACCCAGGCGCGGTTCGTCATGGGGATCACCGGCCTATGGTCGGGCCACGACCATGAGGGCAACGGCTCGGAGGGCCTCGGCTTTTGTGGGAAGACCTCCGAGTCCGACACGATCTGAGGACGTAGCTTACTCGCGTTCAGTAAGGGGTATACTTGCGGCGTCATCCTGCAGGCTGGCCCGACCCACGTGTACCAGCAGATCATGGGTAAAAACTCCCTTATGCTGGAATACAGCGACTACGGTACTGGCGACTACAGACTGCCCAGCTTTGGAGTAAGGCCCTACTCAGTAATGCTTTGAGTAACGTTATCTACTCTATGAGGTTCGATACAACGCCAAGTCGGAGCTAGGTCACAGTGAGATCTCCCCCGTGGAGTATGTGGATCATAAGATAGTACAGGGGAAAAGGCCGATATCTGAGAAGCCTCACTCGTCACTACCTCAAGTCGGTCATTAGGATGATTGACATCATCGGGAGCTCAAAGGTTACAGGTTCGCTGTGAATCGGAGGAAGACTGTATGACCCTAGAGATCGACCTGCAAGATCGAGTCTCGGGGCTCACTTTGACGCTCTACTTTACTGTCTATCCAGAGTGGGACGTTATTGTGCGGAAGACCCGAATGATGAACCCCTTATCCTCTGGATTCCCTGTTGGTGTAGATCACTTGATGAGTACTACATGTAACTTTGAGTCTGGCAACCATCACGTTACCCACTTAGGAGGTGACGCTTACAATCAGGGTCTGGGTGGCATCATGAAAATCATCAGGTTCTTGGGGTAGAGAGGCTCAGAAGATAAGCTTTCAGTTGCAGCAAGGAGCCATCCGTATCGAGTCTACTCGTGGGGTGAGCAGCCATATGCACAACCCTATGTGTGTCATTAGCAAAGGGCCGTATAACGAGGATGCTGGATATCATTGGGGCTTCATGTTCGTGTAAGTCGAGGGGAGCTCTTCGTGTTCGCCGACAGCGTGTGCTCTACAGGTACAGTGGTAGCTTTCTCATTGAGTGCGACACTAACGAGACTAATAGGCTCAGAGTTAACGTGGGGTAGGAGACGCGTACAGGTTTCCAATACGGATTACTACCTGCCTCTGTGTGTAGTTTCAACCCCTTGACTTTCAAGTGGAAACTTTATCCCGGAGAGTCCATCACTACTCCTGAGACCATAATGATATTCAGTAGCTCTGGGGCTACTAGTCTCACGCATAAGTTCCACAGGATATTGCAGGATAGGCTAATCCCATCTCGGTAAGTCTCACATCAGTTCGGGTATGGTTATAGCGAATGTATCAGATGGCGCTATACGAGGCCACCAGTGGTGTGTAATACGTGGGAGTCGATGTACTTCGATGTCACTCACGACAGGGTAAGGGTATATGGTGGCTACTGTGGCATATGGAGGGGTATGTGGATCAGGTCATGCAGTTGGCTCGTCATGCTGCTGCTGTCGGGGCTGAGATGTTAGTCGTTGATGATGGATGGTTCACTAATAGGAATGATGATACGGGAGGGTTGGGGGACTGGGAAGTTGACAAGGAGAAACTCCCTTTTGGTATACCACATCTATGTAAGGCAGGATGGTGCGGAGGGGGTTCCATGTGGTCTTCTGTCCAGGTAACGCCATCAACCAGTTGGGTTTGGGTTTTGGTTTATGGATAGAACCCGAGATGGCATCCCCTGGTTGTCATCTACTACAGAAGTATAAGGACTGCACATTGCAAGCCAAGAATAGGCCGATGACTATGAGGAGGCATCAATTCCTGTTAGACTTTAGTCAAGAGAGGGTCAGACGATACGTCCTCAAGAAGTTGAGGTAAATGCTTATCATCAGTGAAGTGTAGTACAGAAGCTTGCCGAGGTCCATCCTATCGAGTTGCAACATAGCCTATGTGAAGTGGGATATGAATCGTCATTTAACGGAGGCTCAGAGTGCTCTATTATCTGATGATAGACCACAAGGGGAGACCATGCACAGGCATATGCTTGGAGTCTATCAGGTGAGGAGGTCACGATATCAAGGTGACTACTTCTAATAAGGGTGCGGCCTCAGGTCCTCGACTCTATCACTTCCGAATTCCCTCTGGTACGTTTTGAGACGTGTGCAGGAGGAGGTGGCAGGTTCGATGCCGGCATGTTGTATTTTGGTCCCCAAATTTGGGCATCGGATAACACCGACGCCTGCTGTAGAGCACGTATACAATCGGGCCTCTCTGTGGGTTACCCCATGATTACTATGGGCAGTCACATTACAGCCACACCTAACCATCAAGTAAGCCCACCCTGAATGAGGATTTGCATCGTCATACGAGACATTCTCCTCTTCAGACTGGACGGGTCCTGCCGGGAAATGTGAGAGGAGGAATGTCCATGCTTGGTGCCATGGGCGTGGAGTTGAACCTTATGAAGGCTGATGTGGAGCTTCTTGAGGAGATCAAAGCGTTACTGCATGTCTATAAATCAGCAATTGATTCTAACCTTCTAAAGGGGAAATTCTATAGACTTTGGGACCCTTTTGATATGCACTCGACACAGGCAAGTCATTGGAGTGTCTAGCTCTTGCTGGATGTGCGTTGGCGTAGGTATTCGGTGCGGAGGCAACAGCCTGGATGGAAGTAGCATGTGACAGATCTAGGGCTATCGTGATGGTGTGCATGTTACATCTGAAGGAGGTCGGGAAGGAAACTCTTATTATGGATGGTCGTATCGGCTTATGTGAGATTCTGCTATCAGGTTGGTAAGATCATCCCAAGGCTTCAATTGAAGGGTCTATCAGAGGATACCCTATATGACATAATAGATCTCGCACCGAGCTCGTAGGTATTCCTTTGATCCTTCTCATTAACAATGATGCCTCTACAGATATGTCCGTAACCCACAGACTCTACAAGTTGTGTGTAATCCCGTACCGGTGTCCAAGTTCAGTGGTCTACAACTTAGAGGTGTAACTCTCATGAAAGCTGGCTTACCACTCCAATTCCTATTCGATGGGGATTGTAGTCTATTCGAGATTAGGAGTGCTGACCTGGGCCCCCGATCGGGACCAGCTCGCAGCTTCGACTTCACTAACCTCCACTGAGTAGTGTGAGCGCCTCAAGTGGCTGCATATCTCTTGCCGGCCCGTTCTCGTGTTACCTTAAACGTTGTCTACTCCAAGCTCATTGCTGTATCTGCTGGCCTTGAGGCCAACCTAACTTATCATGACTAAGTGTGGATTTCTCACCCGTTCATCAGTATGTCTTTTTAGCACTTGCGAGCCGGGTTGTTAATTCGTGGAGACGGCTTAGCCATATCCGCTTGGAGTGCCTTCCGGTGGCGATTTGTTCAACTCCTCGTGTGGTGAGTCACGTTCTGGAGGACCATCAGGTCCGTCGTTACTTGGGCATTGTGCTGCTCTTAGCCACGCAGTATGCGGGAGAGGTTCGTCACCTACTTTTACTCTAATTTTACTGTCGTATAATACGAGCCGCATCGCACTCGGAAATACTAATGCGGCATTAGTAATGTCTGGTCACCTTGTGCTCATTAATTCTCATGTCCGACTACCGTGTGCTCACCAATACTCATTTCCGGCGACATTGTGTTCACCACTATCCATGTCGTACCGCCACGCATCCATCCGTGTGCATGTCCGACTACTGTGTGACCATCTGTGCATAGGTCCGACCACTGCGTGACCATCTGCGCATAAGTGAAGGAGTGGACTGCATTATCTTCAGCCTTCCTAACTCTAAAGCAGCTGGTATAGATGATCTACCTGTCCAACTCTTCAAAACATCAGCGGCGGCAAGGGTTTGGATTATTTAGCAATTTTGGCAAGGGAACGGAATACCTTCAGGCTGGAAAACGGGAAAACTAGTGATGTAATATAAAAAGGGGAGTACTAGAGATCTTGCCAACTCTCGATCAATAAGCCTATTGTCTCATTGTTATAAAGCTCATCGCACTATTCTATTGAGACGGATCCAAAGTTCAGTCGATAAACGCCTCTTAGCTATGCAACAAGGTTTCCGTCCCGGTAGGAGCTGCAGTTCCAGATCGTATCATAAAACTCATTATGAAGATATATCATGATGCACAAGATGCTCTTTCCCCGCTTTTGCATGTTGGATTCAATCTTCCGTAGAGGGTCCAAAGCTGACGATGGCATTCCGGTATTCGGTAGACGATTAGCTGACTCGGGCAATGCTGATGATGTAGCACTACTATCCGGAACGCTACGAGAGCTCAGTAGTCGGCTAGCATCACTGAACTCGGCAAGCTCTTCTGCTACCAAGCAGATTTCTCTCCCGAGAACCATGATCCAAATGGTTAATAAGGCTGATAAAACCTCAGCTACTACTGAGGAGGACATCGTCAACCGTATATCGTCTTCACACGATCGCCCAACGTGTGGCCGACCTTTTCCAACCAAGCGAGGTTTGAATATCCACATTGCACGTTGGTGTACTGGTGACCCTTTTGAGAGATCTCGCAAGAGAACACTAGCTGATCGTTTAGTATCCAGCTCTAAAAGCGTGAGTCTAGCTGGAAGACACCCTGAAGATGTGATGCTGAACGGTGTTTCTTCAAGTAAAACTCACGATTTAGTCTATCTAAGCTCGCTAATCTCAGCTGACTGGAGTCATCTGCCTGATGTTAAACACCGGATAAAGATAGCTCAACAGAAATTCAATGAACTATGCCATATCTGGGCAGATGCTACTCTGAGCCATACGGTGAGATTAAATCTGTATTTGGTTCGGGTATCCACAGTTCTACTATATGGTGGACCACCATGGGTGGTGAATGCTGGTTCACTGATAAAACTATCCATCAAGCTCTCCGAGGTTTCCACATCCGCAGTCTTGCCCGCATTGTCAAAACTGACCCTCAGGCTGTACAACATACTTCAGGACTACCAGACATAATGAGGTTGTTATGTCAAAGACGTTGGTTATGGCTGGGACGTCTCCTACGCATGAACAAAGATGAGGTTGTATCGCAAGCCTTTCGAGCATCGATTTCAGAAGGTCCATCTTATCCGTCTTATCATACGGGTTTCTTATCTTTATGGCTTATCTTATCTTTATGGGGTATATGCTCTTGGGACTACGAAACCACCATGATTATGGTCGAAGCTCGTTCTAGTTGTGAAAGTCAATTTGATGTTTGCTTTGATTCTGCAGTCGACCTTTCTAACTTGTATTATTTCTGTTATGATAGCTTGCTCTTATAGGGCTGATGCCGTATCATTATAATATTATCTGTGCATGTATTATATGTCCGACCACCGTGTGACCATCTATGCATATATCCGACCTCTGTGTGGCCATCTATGCATATGTCCGACCACTGTGTGGCCATCTATGCATATGTCCGACCACTGCGTGATCCTCTATGCATATGTCCGACCACTGTGTGACCATCTATGCATATGTCCCACCATTGCGTGACCATCTATGCATATGTCCGACCACTGCGTGATCCTCTATGCATATGTCCGACCACTGTGTGACGATCTGTGCATAAACCACCTTGTGTTCATCAATGCTCATGTCAGACCATTGTCTGACAGTCAAACCGCCTCGTGTTCATCAACACTCACGTGTCTCGAGTTATGTATGAACGCCCTGTTCCCATCAACGCATATCTACCTAACTTGCATTCTGAGTCAGAATTTCTGGTGCCCGACCACTCACTATTGATCAATACCCATGCCATTCCCGAGCAGATTTCTTGGGGCCACTTGGACATCAAGAACGACAAGAGCGGCGTTGTTATTATTTGTGATAGATAGCGAGGTCGTTACACTTTTGGATAATCCAGTGGAGAGAAACTAACTAATCACCAAATGATGGTGCTGACACTGTCAGCCATCCTGTCAGGATGGTTGATGATGTTCTTCGCTTATTTGCGTCAATCATTGATCAGATGCAGGGAAACCCTCTCACATTACGTCCCTCACTGGATGCATAAACTGCTCCATCGCAACTATCACCATGTGGGGGCTGACGCTCACTTCACACTGAGTTGCTCGCAGCCAGAGGGTTAGGTGTGGTAGCCTGTAGGCCCTCAGCTCGGTCAGCTGTGCCACCTGTAATGATCCCTATCAGTATTGATTCTCTCGACGCGGTTGTGTTTCGTTGGCGATATTGTTAGTTGCTAGAGAGCGTATGAGGATGACATCCAGCTTCATTGCCATCACTTCGGACAGAGTTTGTGCCATTTGGAAATCTTAATGTCGAATGGAATCACTCTACTAGTGTTGCCAATGTGATTCCTGCACTCTTGTATATGTCATCCTGGCATATCGCCTGTACTCTCCAATCTTCGTGCATATGCGTATGAGTTCAATAGACTGGCTGCTTGAGGTCACCCTCAATGAGGTGGACATTGCCATCATAACCAACCTCTAGGATTAGTCGTAATCACTAGGTAGCTACTGTAGCTTTTTTGATTCTGATAATCTGCGTGCACACCTCGTGCCTCGCCATGGAATCTTCACGAAATACAGGGATACCCCCGCAACCATCTATACGCCTATACCAGGCTTCGTGTCCCTTCTACCCCCATTGCTCGAGATGCCTGGTACGAGGCTGCCACAAGTGAGTTCCCCGTGCCAAAAAGGAGCCATTTTGAATGGAACTTCTGGCGCATCGTACTGCCGTGTCGTAATCAGAATGACTTATTTGGCTCATCTCCTGGAGCTGGAGGGTACTCAGCCAAACGAGGCTTCTGTGCGGCGTTCGAGAGCTACACCCCACATTCCCAACGGACTGTCCTGCTAACACCCTCAGCCGGAGCACGAATTCTAAGTAGGCATGTTTTCTGCCGTGCCCGATTCTTCCACTTCAATTCTCAGGCGCGGTCGGAGAGCTCTCTACCGCGGATTTGCCGACAACATGTCCACCGTTCGAGTTTTGGCTCTTGAAAAAGCTGGATAGAAGCGTGTGCGTGTTCGACTACTGGGTGCGGGTAGGCTGCTGTCTTATTTCCCCTGCGTTCATTCATATTATTCGTCCACTGACTGTGGAGTCCCGAGACTGATCTATGTCAGGGTTCGCAGAGCTGGGATACAGAAGGGATATTAAGCGACCTTATACTGGCGCGGGCCGAGGCCGAGGCTGTCACCGTAGAAAAGGTCGGCCCCTCCCAACTAAATACAACTGGAAATCAAGATTCTCTGAGCGTGCAGCGTGTTGTCTCAATACGTGAATGAGGAGTCTCTCTCTCGGGACAAGCCCGGCGTGTCTCACGTGTGTGTGTATCTATTGTGTGTCGTGCTCTTATAATCTATCGCTCTTCTTTCCCTAGTTATGCCAAATCTATTAGTAGATCGATAATTAAACCTCGTTGTGTTCACTTGCATCGTGGGGGAAACAGAAATGTTTTTATATCTCCTTATCAACTCGGTACACACAAATGCGCAAACCGATCATTAAGCCAGATGACTGACTCACGAAAAGAGAAAAAAGAATGAGAATGAGAAACATGATAAGGGGGATTTGTCATATTATATCCTGACAACCGTGGCGTAGCACGGTAACGCTACTGCTACCATCGGTAACAGAGACTCGATAATGCCGATCGGCAATACGACATAGTTCGGGATGAAACGTAGTGCAGATGACCTGAGGTTAGGACTGGCCTGTACCCACAATTATAAACTACCTGTGCCGGTGGGCCGGCTGAAGGGTTGGAAACAGTTCCTACTAGACGAGCCACAGCCTCCCGATATCTGATGCATAAGAAGCATAAAGGTTTCCCAATGCATGGACGAGTTACTGAGGATCGAGGGCGGCATCAATCTCGTCGAATAGATAAAATGGTGGTTGATCCGTCTTCTGCATTGCGAACAAAAGCGCAACTGCAACCTGATCTCATCCAGCTCCGAAAGAACATTGCCGAGATATGTAACCTTATGATGGCTCGCGCAACGTACCACAGTTTTCTGTCCTCCACTAAACTCGTGGATTCTCTTCAATCGGCATCGGCTCCGGGAAAATGTTACTTCCAGAGCCACCCCGACATACCTCCCATACACAAGGGCATAGCAAAACCCGACTCGCTTCCATCAAGAGCTTACTGCTCCTCACAGACCGACGGCGTCGTGCTATCGCTGTCTTCATCGTCTTTCTGAATATGCCTCCGCTTGAGCAGTTTCATCCTCGCATTCCCATCAGGCACCTGAGGGAACGAGTTACCCAGTGGGGAGGAGACGGCTCAGAACCAGTATAGAGAAAATATTGGAGAAGTTCTCGTCGATCTGGGCGAAACTCTTGACGACATTGTCCTTCTTCTCAGCATCGAGATTTCTGATGAGATCGTCTATAGCCGCCTAACAGGATACACATAACGAGTATCAGCCCATTCCGGGATCAGGGCTCTCACCTGCTCTTCGTCCATCTCGCGTTGCTTCTGCAGGAGCTCTTCATAATGGCCGTTAAATAGCCCGAACCTAGAACGAATGAATGCATACCGAGAAACGGCAGCTTCTCATGATGAGAATCTCATCCCACTGCTCCGCAGCTTTGTTATTTACACCGCCACCAAATTTTGACAGATTCCTAGTGCACCTCAAGAGCCTTCTCCGCAACGTTGGTGTATCCTGAGGAGAAGCGTTCAATATATGACGCCGTTACAGTCAACACAACAGCAAAGCCTTACCTCAGTTAGGTCTCGGATAACTCCATCGAGGCACTCCGTTTCAGGTTGGTGAGCTATGATATCATCCAACTTGGTTCCAGCCAGGGTACGCCGTTCCTCGCAACTGAGCTCGTCTTAGTTTCATAAGGCTCACAGGCATCAGCACCTACACTTTCAGTTCACTCATCTTCTCCTCATGTGCTCTCTCGAGAGTCGCGACCTCGGCCTGGTGGTCAGCTACCTCAGCCTCTAAGTCCTCCACGGACGTGCCTACGCAACATGGCAATTCCAGTGATGTACCATCATGCTGATCTACATTTCGAGGACTGTGCCTCGCGCAATTCTGACAGCCTTTCACTATTGAAAGCAAGCTCCTGCTCAGTCTCAGTGAGTTCGCTAGTGAGCCATTTGATTCTCCTGCCAACAAACTGCCATGTCGCTCGAAAAATATTTCCCACTTCTCCTCATCCAAGGCATCCGGATTCGCGTTCGCAGTTGTCGAGGTCGCGACACGCAATCGCTCTTCAAGGGATTGCATTCGGCCCTCGACCAGCACGACCAAACGTGAGCGGAGTTTGTCTATAGCGCTTTGACGCTCAACGACTTTCCTACACAGGGAATACCTCTCGGCTCAATGGCGATGGGATGGCACAAGAGAGAAGCATCACTGAAAGATTTTCGCCAATTGCAGCTTCTTCTTTTCAAGCTTTTCCTTGAGGATCTCCAGCTGAACGCTGTCGGGGTCGTCGGGCTCTCTCACGCTCTCAACCGTGTGGTCTAAGCGGGGGTACACCGGGCATTCCTGCTATGCGAAAACCCACTGAGTTCATCCGTGATTGCGGCAATGTCCCGTGCCAATGAGTCTCGCTCGGCACTGTATTCTCTCGTTAGTCTACAGCAATGACAGGAGTATACAACTATTGTAGGCTCAGTGTAGGGCTACCTCGTTGCCGAGTAGATACTATCACGCAGTCTCTGTCTCATATCTCTGAGTTCCGACAGCTCTCTGGCCTTCAATGCTTCAGCCTAGTGAGGCAGAATGCATCAAGTGTCACCATTCTCGAGCGTTTCCAACCCGAAGACTCCGCTGTAAGTCCACTCGAACGCCAAGGATCCTGTGTTTGATTTCCTCTTCAACAGAGTATTCCGCCATCAATTTAGCAGTTGCGTTCTCCAGCTCAGTCTCCCCTGACTTTATGTCATCTTCAATACTAGAAAGCTTTTCCCTGAAAGCATGGAAGCTCATACCCAAACGAGGGATACCGGACTGGAAGGCACCATTCCTTTAGTCTCGTATATCGGCCATCATCCACGAACCCTCCCTCGAGCGACCCTGAGCGGATCATCTCGGGACGTGGCGGCTATAGACTTGCCTCTCGTGTTGAAGATATCCCCTCCACGAGTGACTAAGCTGAACTCGTGATTGTTCAGGTGTTCAGTTTCACCATCGGCAACCAAGAACCTTCATGAAGACGTTTAGATGAGGATAGAGATGATATACTCAGCGTCGTACTTGCCCCAAACCTCTTTGACCGCACACTCGGCCCAGTCCGGACTCTTAATCACATCTGTGAGTAGGAGTGAGCCAACTGGGCTCAGCGAAGGCTCTGGTGCCATCTCGCGGTCCCCCATCTTAAGAGACACTTCTGTAGTGTGATGCCTATGCGGGCTGACTACAAGACCTCACCCGCGCCAGATACATGAAGGTAGCCCTCAATGGTTTGCCAGTCTCGGCCTGCCTCGCCTTTACCAAGTCGACGCATTTATGCATCACTTCTTCATCGTCTACGAGGATACTGTACAGCTGGTGTCCCGCTGTTATCTCCACAGCTAAGCGGTATTCCTGAACAGTGATTGGACCCGATTGAACACCGTGCGCAATGATGCATGGTTCTCACTTCGGGCACGCGTATATGCTCGAGCAGTAATCCTCGAACTCCCTCGAGATTCGCTTGCATGACAATATCATATCTTGAGTGCTCGAACTTCATCCATGCGTCCGAAAACCTTGCTCACTTACCCTCCCCGAGTCCCCGGTGGGGTGTCTTGCCAGATGGCGTCCAGCACGATATGTCTACTGTTCCGCAGCTCCTTGAGCCTCGCCTCGGCAGAAGAGATGATCTAGAGGTACATTCACGGTTCAGGGTGGACTTCCATGTCGGCCACCCTCACTCTGTTAGTTCGTCTTGTCTGTCCGGACACCTTCAAGGCCTCAGCGTTCAAATCTCTGAGTTCTGCTTGTAGCCGAGCACTGTTTTCGATAATATCCTCGATTTCTGCCTCGCACTTGTCCATGTCATGCTTCATAGTAGAATCTATACAATGAGCGGAGTGTTGCGCAGTCCTCCGCGGCTCTTCTATACTTCTAGGGGATAAGTGTTATGGTCGGATTCGAATCGAGACACGCATTCCAGTCCGCTACTCCTCGGGCGTACGTTGACGTTTCTCTTCCCCGATTGCAAGCCGCTGTTTCTCCACGAGCTCCTCAACTTCCTCATATCGTGCCTCCGAACGTGCCAGTCTGTGTTCCAACGTCACTTTTTGTTGGGAGTCTAGGAGCGAGCTAGAGGGACTCTTCTACTCAACAAAGTCTCCACTGGCTTTCGGTACCGTACTTGGAGTCTGTTTCCTCTGTCACGAGCTTGCTATGGTTCCTGGTTAAGTCACTGACCTCCGCTCTGAGCTCACTGAGAGGCACCACGTTAGTATCTCACTCATAAACCAATATGAGTGGGGAACAGAAGCAGCCAGAACCATCTGTCTCACAGACAGTTTGGCCGAGTGGTCTAAGGCGGTGGCTTTAGGCGCCATTCCGAAAGGGCGTGGGTTCGAACCCCACAGCTGTCACTAAAATTCCTTTGCAGATTTATTGCTTCCATTGCTAGTTATGACTGATAACTCGTTAAATATTCCCGGACGTATGATATCAAATAGGAAGCCCATCAGTTCTGCTGCTTGTCGGATCCCAAAATGAGATGGTAACACTCACCGGAGGCGCTCCTCATCCTCAGCCAAGCCCTCCCGCTGCTGTTCTATTTCTTCTGCCAAACATCGAGCCTCCTGCTTAGTGCTTATCAGTTCACCACGTATCGTACCGACCTCTGTATAACCTCGTAAATACGCCATATTATACTGAATGCACGCTACTGCTGACTCACTCGTTAGTTCTCCTCCCTCCTGCATCGGGTAACCGGCGGAGAGTTCTGCATATTCGATCGAAAGCTGGCTCCGATGTTGGTTGAGTCTTGACACTAGAGGAAGTAGTGGTGTTTAAGGTCGCGTATGTAACGGTTCCTAACCAATCGTAGTATGTGCTTCAACCTCCTGGCGGAGTGTGTCAAGTTGTCCTTTCTCCCTTGTGAGCTCCTTGGTTATACCCATAAGCACTGCACGCTGGTCAACAAATTCACGCTGTATCCTCGATGTCTACAACAACACAGGGGTGACTCGAGACAACTTTTCCAAATTGGTCTGAAGTTCTCAACGGTGTTGACTACAAAGCTATGGATTTCAATTGGTTTCTGGAGTTATCGGTGTGAGACCCATATGGATGGGCCAAACAACATAGGATAGACGGACTAACCTCGGCCTCTAATTTCTCTATTCGATCTTTGTAGTGCTGCCTCTCTCTATCAGCGATGACAACCTCAAGTGCCGCCTTCTCATTGAGAATATTTTTATAGCTGATAAATGAGGATTTCGAGGATACCATTCCGTGAATGTGTACTCCTGCAAATCCTTCTGATCACAATCGAGTTGTTCAAGTTTCCCTCGTATCTCTTCAATGATCTCTGCAGTTTGTCTTCGCTTCTCATTAGTTTTCTCGATCACTGCCAAAGACTCCGCTCGCCTGCGACACATACTCCTCATAGCGCTTCCCTCAAGTGGTGAGGGGCGCCGACCTCAGATCATAGACCCGTGTCCCCGAGACTTCCTTGAGCAGATCGAGCCGTTTGGCATCCGATACCAGGGCCAGTGATGTGACCTCACCCTGCTCTACCACATAATACCTGTGATAACAAGAAACCGTATAGGTCCATTTGTCCTACGACAAACTGAGATGAACTCACGTTCTGTTCTTAGTGCTGATACCAGCAGCTTCCAACCAGGTGTTTACTTCGCTTTTCGTAGCTTGCTTGCCATCCCAGTGATATCTGGTGAGCACATCGCGTCGAGTTATATCCTACCACCAGTACACGTCGGTTTTGAGTGTGATTGTCCTCCTCAAGGCAACCTCTGTCTTGTCGATAGGTATGCGACCATCACTGTTATCAAGTATCAGCTCGACGTAAGCTGAAGTCACTTGCCGTCCATGACCTACCATACAGAATCGAATTGAGAACACCACTGGCCAGTTCAGGGTACTTTGATGGAGCAAGGATCTCCTGTGTTGCTCGGAAGCGATTCTGTCTCCTCCCAGGGCGAAGCGGATCGCTGAATATCTGCTCATCCTTAAGCTACACACAGATGCTCAAAATGATTCCTCACATATTGCTCTTGCCGCTACCATTGAGGCCTACGAATACGTTAACACCAGCGTGGAGGTCGACTATGCTAGTCCGGTCACGATATGTCTTGTAGCCTTTTATGGTCAACGTTTTTAAATGCATTATAAGACAGTCAATGCAACTAAGGACAAGTATGCTATCGTTCAGGGTCGACGATGAACAACTATTATTCGATTTTGTAGTGATTGACAAACACAATACCACTTTTGCAGGAACTTAGTTGGAATGTTGCTGCCCACGATGGACTTGAGTAGCATTCGAAATGAGGTAACAGTCCAACACGGCTACTCCTGTCCTCAAGAGATACATCATAGCCCCGATCAGCTATAGGGCATATCCCTGAACGGAAAGTACTGCAGATCACCTAGGAGGAAGGGACAGAAGAGAACAGAAATATACAAGCAGTGCTTTCTAGGCGGGCGGATGCCCTTCTGAACAGCTCCAATGTCGGCGTCACCATTCCCTCTGGCATGGGCCTGGCGTCCCGCCTCTAACAGGGCGACATCGGCAGACATAGCTCGAGAGTATCCACCCTTCCTATACTGCCCGAGCTGAATGCTTAAGGTAGCTCATCGGGAGCCCTCACTCTGTTGTTGGTTGTCATCGATCTGCACAGTTTATTTCGCTGATTGTCCCTTGACTCCTTTCTAGCGGTGCTATTTGATGGCATCTCTTGGAAGAGATACTCATTCCGCTCAACAGTGGATGGCGAAACTATGGAGTGCGCGGCCTCCGCAAGGCTTGGTGCCATATACCAAGCACAGAATATGTAGGACATAACCCACTGCAACACACAATTTTCAACAGGCCCTGTGGCGCAACGGTAGCGCATCTGACTCCAGATCAGAAGGTTGTCCGTTCGAATCGGGCCGGGGTCATTTCTAAGGCAACACGTTCCACGTAGAATCATGTGACTGGCGGATATATTAGAGAATCGTTTTCAGTGAACTAACAAGCTTAATATCATCATACCGATAAGTAGACCTAATCCATTCTTCCACGACACGGCCTACCCCAAGTTGTACTCCTGTTCATCCTCTATGCCCTATAGCTTATCTTCCTCCTCATCGAGACTGCAGCGTGTATCATTCAGCTCTCAAGTCTCCTGAATCTATTTCATGTGAATGCCCATCGGTAGACGAAGCCTGCTTGGCAGTTCCCGGCCAGCCTGGAAGTGAGACGGACGGAATTTGCAAAGGAGACGAGTGGTAAATGCGAAACCAAATGTTACTCTCTCAGCGGTTCGGTTGAATTCGAGCCACAAGAAATGAGCTCAACAACTACTTGAGCTATCGTGGAGTGTATTGCAGTGAATCTTTCCGGCACAATTCTAAAAAGCAGTTCAGCACCCACCGTAAAGTCGTAAAGTCTTTCCGTAACACGTAAACTGCTAACGATACGCACGCCGTAACGTAAACCGTAAAAAAACCTTACGCTACCCATCTATAACTCGTACTCTCGAGTATTCCACTTAAGTCCTCCTTTTCAGCTGTGCATACTATTACAGCGTACAAACTCCCCTCCACAAAATGGTGTCACTCTTCCCGACGAGCTGATTCTGGCACCAAAATGCTCCTGAGAGTTCCATCATGGAACTTCCATGTGCTCTGAGACGGCCTTGCCCGGTACTTTGACCAAAACCTCACTGACAGTAGAAGAAGCAATAAAGACCCAGTGGCAACCAGCGACTGCATCTCGCTAGAGCCTCGTTGAGTTCCCTCGTCTGCTCTTCCAACGAGGATATATCTCCGTCCGCTACCATTCACGAATACTTCAACACTAGAATGGTAGGCAGATCTTGCGTTCCATGAGCAAGTCCTTCAAAGTGTTTTACTATATTTCTTTTGATTATGAGCTGTGCTAGCCGATATGAACGACCACAGTGATGCATTATTAGTGACAGAGATCTGTACAGCTCTCATTGACACTGAAACATACACTGCCGTGGTCTAAGTAGCATCGTAACACAACGAGGACCAATCATACGAAAATCACAACTCGATGATACTGACTCAGGTCCGTTTGAACCGGCCGCTGCTCAGCAGTTTCCGCTCTACTACGTCCGTGCCAGCTTTCACTGACATACTATAGGTGAGGGACAGCTGCTAATCTCCCTGTTAGGATTAGATAACTCAACAAGAGTTATTAACAAGTGGTTCTAACTTATGATCAATACAGTAGTCATAAAGTATACGCTAGGCTAGCAAGGGAGACTAGTATCACAAGAATCTAAAATTACAGGAGACACTTGCACACGACACACTACCCTTCAACCTGCACTATTCATTCATCTGATAACCTGAAAATCTTGCTCACTTTCTCTTACTTGCGTTTCCTCAACCGATGCTTTACGCGCAGGAAGGATAGTGCGAATTAGGTTGTAGTAATGGCAAGGAAGCCTCTGGAGTCGGTGGATCTGAGCCAGAACCACTACGATGTATTAGAGGTCAATGCTCGGACGGTCACGGCGGCTGATATGAAACGGAATTTTAGAAGGTAGTACTGCAAGGCGATTTGAATGTCTATGTTACGGGTATAAATGTCGTTGATATGAACATTGTTAGTGATTTGCCCATTGAGATAACACTACACTGAGTAGGATTGCAGGACAGTGCCTTACAAGGCTGCCGGATTATACTCAGCCGTCAGGGACTATCTTCATCATAGGCTTAGCTAAGGGATTCCTTCAGCCTAGAGAGGCATATTGTGTGTTACGGGGGATTGGGTCAGCGACAATGATGCAGCATCATCTTACAACGCGGAATATGATGGGTTAAAGCTGAGAGCTTTTCGTCTGCTTAGGCTCTGTTTGAAATACCACCCTGATAAGGGAGGCGAGCAGGCGACCGATCATTTCCATCGTATCAAGATGGCCTACGACACATTATCTGATCCTAGAAAGAAAGTGAAGTAAGCCTACAGTGGTGAGAGGTTCACATAGGGTGACCATCAGGTTTGACCAGGCTTATTTCTATGCAAGACATTCTGCTCCTCGCAATTTCAAACGAATACCACGTAAGAAACTCCGTTACATACCATACCATCTTTTAGCGAAATCATCAGAGCCCTCTCCAGTGGAACCTTCATCGAAGCGGCCGAGAGTCGTCCCTACAGCAGGAGTGGCGACGGGCTCGTCCGGAGTTAACTCGCCTAGTGAGAGTGTATCAGGAAGTACTACCCTTACCCACTTCTTATCACATTATCAATCCTGTTGTCGGATAGGCGTAAGTCCTCCGTCCGAAGACATCACATTAGATGGCGACTTGGAGGGTATGAGTATCACTAAGCTGAAGTGTATAGCTAAGGTAGGTTAGGCATCTCTAGGGTGGTGATAGTGATAGGATTACAATAGGCTAGAGGGATCGATATTGCGACATGCATTGAGAAGATTGATATCATTACTGCTTTGAAGAAGGGATTGGAGGCACCAGCCGCTACAGTAGTACATAGGGTTTGGTGTATGAGGTTGATGGTAGATTCAGGAGGTGAAGAATGATAAGGCCCCAGGAGCTACGGAGCAGCCGAAGTCACCAACGAAGACGGCGAGTCGAGTTGGACCAACACTCCCTGAGAATGGTAATAAGGGCGACCCTGACTGAAGATCAGGGGTGCTTTCAGATGATATTCGGAGTCGTCAAGCAGCATATGAGCAGGAGCTCGCGTCTCATGTGGCAGAGGTGGCAATTTCTAACGGTAGCCTTGCAGCTTCGACGGCTCTCGTTGAGAGGTTATCAAAGTTCCAACGATTGTTGGATTCATCTGTGGTCTATGCTACTACTGATCATTTCACGGCGCTTTCGGATCTGCAGAATCGTATGGAGGGGAATCGAAGTGAAGGGAAGCCAGACAGTAGTGGTAGTAGTAGTACGATATCACCACGAGGGAGGTTTTCTAGTGCGATTCGAAGTCACCTGAGTTCTCTGGTTTCGGGGGTAAACGCGATTTCTGAGGTAAAGAAGTCTTTGACGCACTTATCTGACCGGTTGAGAGATGTTATGAAAGATATCAAGCGGAGCGATGCAGAGTTGATCGTAAGTAGTAGAGGGATAAGCGGCGAGATTAGGCGGTATCAGGAGTTGATAAAAAAACTGTCGGAATCGACGGAGGAGGGCGTGGATGAGGAGCATAAGGGAGCAATTGGGGAGAAGGAGGCCCGGAAAATGAATGTGAATCGTCTTGCTGGGTTCAAGGATACGTATGGTGGTGCTCCATCGTTTAGCAGTGGTATTCCCTGTAGTGGTAAAAGTTGGTCGGACTTACTACCCCCTGCGGCCCGACGTGTTGCCCAATCGCAGCCAGAGGGGAACCCGGAAAAAGGGAAGCCTGATTCGCATGGTGAGGGTCAACGTACGGGCTCGGAAACTGTTGCTCATCCGAAGACACCGGACGAGGTCGTCGAGGGATCAGTGAGGCCAACTGGGGTGTCACAATGTGGCGATGAGTCGGTCAAGTTGGAGAAAACGTGTGAGGATAGTTCCCGTCCGGCGCGACGATCGGTGACGGTTAAGATTCCAGAGATGTGGAGGAAGGGACGTCGGGTGCAGTTTGATACCAATTTTGGAGTTGTCCGATTCACCCCACCCGACAACAGCAGTCCGGGAGATCTGATGACTTTCGATCCATCGACTCGGATGGTTCGCAAACGGCAGCCTCTGGTAGCGCGGAAACCCTCAGAAGGGGATCATAAAGTTATTTGGGAAAATGGAAAAGAATTTGTTTTACTGGACTAGAAAAACCGGGCTGTTAAGTACATTACTACGTCCTCAGCATTTTTGTATATTATTGTTGTTATTCAGCTCTGCATATACCATTGCCTATTGTCATCGTCAGATCACGCGTCTCTCGAACACTGTTATTTGTGTTTGTTGTTTTCTCTCCTTCGGGTACCGGATAATACAGTACCTAACTGTGAAAGGTCTACTTCGGTACAAGCAGAGCCCGTCCAGCTTTGAGAAATAGCGTTTGATAACGATGGGGAAAATGTGAAACTGATTTCAGAATGTGGGTAATTCAAAATGAGTTCTCCCCGGGTACATTGTATGTTTGTAGATGATTCCCTGCTCACAAGCGGATTGATGGTTCGATGATGTTGAGCATGGCGAACGCTGTGTCTATCAGTTGTGTTATATGAGAATATCTTCAACGTGTTTTAGCCTAACTTCATTCGTAGAGGTGATTGTATATAAGTTTCCATGAGAGGTCATACGGTCGTGCTTGAACTTGTTGTTTCTTCGGCCGACCGAAAGACCACCAGTATTCGGGCAAGGTCCACTCGATACTCGATGTTACATATCTTGCATGCTGATTCACGTAACACTCGAGATTATCCAGTATACGTGGATGTTCAAGGTCGTTACGTTGACGAGTGAAGGAGATATTCTCGCTATGATGACGGATAACAATTGCATCACCTCATGTGACAGAATCGTCTTGTCAGGCTGTAATGATTACGCAGACGGAAGATTCTGACGCTTTCAAGATACTCTTGGTTCGCCCGCTGATAATGAAGATTGTGCATTACGAATTCTGTAGTGTATATGGTCCTACTCAGCCTCTGTTTCATTCATCATAGTAACCAATTCATCCAGCAGTTATATGTCGTCAAAGAGTAGTGTTCAAGAGTATGGTCCTACAGCGGACTCTAGCAAGGCTACAAATGGTCCGATCTGTCGGTCTTTCTTTCCCCCTTTGCTTAGGCAAGGTCCTCATCAGAAAGGAATCGGAAGTATGTGTATATCGGGAGTCACATAGTCGGGACCGAATTTTGGACTTGAACAGAAAAGTTGCTACTTGCACTCTTAGCTGATCTTGCAATTTCTCAACGGAAATCTACGCAACTCGATACGATGTAGACGGAGCTTGAGGCCCTCACCAATTTATGGGGATATCATCGCTTGTGGTGATGGTTGTGTCTCCACTTACCATCCGGGAAGGCTCTGGTGTTGGCCACTTACATGAGATTAAGGATGGTATAGTCAACGTCACTTAACAAAACGGCTCGGTAAATCGGCTGTTATCATGATGATGAAGTTCCGTTAGGTTTGCCCATATCCTTTTCAACTCTCAAGGAATGGTCTCTCACAACGCCAGAAGGGTAGTAGGTAGTAGTTGGGCCAGCGTATGTGCTTTTTTTGATGGAAACAGAACTACGCACTTGTCAACATGGTATTCTATACGGATCCTGAGTGAAGGAATGATGAACAGTCTTGACCAGTGAAATAAACCGATTCTCCAGCGGTCCAGAAGAGAGGGCCGTCAGCTGAATGACCTCGCCTTGCTGCAGGGGGTTGTTTAACATCCTAACACTGCCATAGATTCGGAGTAGCGGAGTTGAGGTCTACCGCTGCTCACTATATAACTATGGTCGACTACGGGTACCATCGTTAACCCCAATATGAAGTAAACTGATGATGGTGAGTCCGGTTCGGCTTTACTGGAAGTTTGAGATGATCCCTTTCGATGGAGTAGCAATCGCCTCTGAGACGATTCTGGAATTCATACACTAGGGTGGTGGTGTTGGGGGTAAGGGGCACATGCTAAACCACGAAGGCCTTCCGACTCCTAATGTGATGGTGGGAATACCTGATAACGAGGGATCTAGCATCAAGATTACGGAGCTCGGGTGACTTGCTGGAGGACGAATCTAAGGAGACGGATAAGATTGGCGACTGCGACGCCTTTCTCTGCTGCTACTGCGAATGGGGGACCATCAGAGAGATGACCAATCATAGTAGCGTTATAATACAATACTGAATCGTTTGGTGCTAATGCTTATTTGGTGTCGTACACCGACATGACTCGGGCATCAGTAGTACTAGAGTGTGGGATATCGATTCTATATAGACCACACCCTGTTGTGTTACGATTGAATATGCGAGCCCTATGGTGCAATGTCATAGTGGTCTTGAATAGTAGGGTGAGTGAACAACAGTTTCTGCTAAGGTGGAGTTGAATTTTACGGATTGTAATGCCCCCTGGTGAGGCCTCTCCTCCTGGAGCACCTCCCAACCACTACCGCGTACTCGGCTTGACGAGCGAACGGGCCACAGCAGATGAGATACGGAAGAGTTACCGCAGGTAGTAGTAATCAATGGGCATCTAGTAGGTAGGCAGTACGCCTAGCTGTGTGCCTCTCAGGTTGTTATTAAAGCATCATCCTGATAAAGGTGGTACTGTTGATGGGTTCCATACCATACAAGAGGCTTATGATACCCTCATAAACCCCTGCAAGAGGCGACGGTGAGGGCAGTGCTATGTGCAACGTTGACGACCTATTTGAAATTGTATATTGCCAATACGTTTGATTATTAATACATTATTGTACTCCTCGAATAGTAATACTCAATAGATTTATATTACGTACTAAGTAGATGCATTCATAGGTGATAGCCCCTAGACGTACTCATAGTGTGATGAGCATAAACGATATTAAAGACTCTATATCCAATACCACTCCTCGCCGTCATCATCATCATTATGGCAGGTACGACCAAGTGGATCTACCTCGAGCAGTACCTCGAATGCAAGAGTCTGTAAAGGGTGAGTACCATCCATTGGTTTCCGGCTACATCCCCTCCTCCAGAGCCAGCCAGTAGTAATGCTCAATCAACGCTGAACATACCCAGTGACTTAACTCTGGCAGCACTCACCACACCAACATTGAGGCAGATCGCCACAGTAAGCGTCGATGCGGCCAGCACTAGACCGCATTATTCCAGCAGTTGGAATGTATGGTCGCTCTCCTCAGCTGAGCTATGGACTTTTTCTTATTATAGGAGTTTATATACGAATTGGTGTAGAAGTAGACAGAAACTAACAAGAATTTTCCAAAATTTTTTATACTGTCGCCAACATATGTAGTTGACCATACTGTTAGAGAGTGGGAGTCAAGTTGGACCACTGCGTATCGAAGGACGAGCTCATATCAGCTATAAAGAAAACGGGCTATAACCAAACACATGTCAGATTAAATTTAGTCTAGTTCCATGTATAGCAGCATATACAGGTCCGCTGTCACCAGCAGGACGAGTCACCAGCGAACGGCGGCAGCGGCGGTAATCCAGATGAACAGTCGGTGGCCCCTCCAGTAGTAGGGGAGGTGAGGCACCTCTCTACAGCTCATGGGAGGTCTCAGACGCCCGCCACCGCCAGCTCCAAGCCAAGTGTAAATCCCCTAGCACAGGACATCGTAACGGAGGCCACCAAGATGGCATTGGACCCAACAGGTAGTGAGGGGGCTTCCGTCGTGATCCTCTGCTCATGAATGCAATTGTTGTTAGATGTACAATACCTGGAGGCATGTATGGAGTCGTTGAATCGTCAGATGGCTCTTGAGGCCTGGCTGGACATCGGTCGTGCCTCGACGCCCGTCTTGGATGTCATCGGTAGCGAGATAAAGCATGTACAGGTGCTATTGAATGGTATCACTCGAACCCTGAATGGGGCTACTACCAGAATACAGCGGGTCCAGGTGGAGGCTACTACGAAGGCCCGGACGGCTCAGCATACTGCTGGTCTCCTTAGAAGTGATCCCTCTCTCAATGAGTTATTCGATTCTATTAAACGTAAAGGAGCTACGGTCGCCAAGGCTGTGAAGGCTATAACGTCCCTTGGGAAGATGGTGGATGCCCTCTCGCACGGCCTAACTGGGGTGGCTCGAGACATAAGTGTCGTTGAAATGGACTCGGTGGGAGTTGAAAAAAGAGTGGTATCAGCCTCCAAAAAGTGCCATAGTGAAGCAGTTGCTGCGGCGTTGAAGTTTAAATGCAGTAACGGTAAGGACCTATCTCTCGAGCAAGTACTAGAGGCCGTACGATTTGCCTGGGAGAAGACTACTAAGGAGAGACACCAGCGGCCACAGCAGGGTCAATCAGTCCCAGCAGAGACAACAGCGAAGGGCTCTTCTACCAGGTCAGATCTGGCTCAAAACACTACTGATAGCGGTCGGCCAGAGGCGAGTGGTGATGAGGAAACTAGAGTAGGAGGAGGGGAGGCGGTGACTGGTGCTACTGGGGAGAAGGGTAGTTCGGTAGCTGCTGATGGTGAGGGGGTAGTAGATGCGGGAGTGGGACAGATGGAGTCCTCTAAGCGGGTGGTTAATTCAGAGGTGGAAGATACTTCACAAAGGGGTGATGGTAAGCATGAGGCTAGTTGTCCCAGTGTGCTGGCTCAAGGCTCGACTACTGGAGGGGACAGTAAAGATAGTGGGGATGCTGGGATTAGCGGAAATGTTGGGCTACCGAGTGGTGCTACCGAGATGGAGGGGAGGTCAACGACAGTTGAGGAGGCAGGAGACGGACTGGACCTGCCAGGTCGGCAGTCCAATCGAGAGGAGAGTGCTCTACATAGCAACCCCGGCAAGGATGGAGGGCCCTCCAGGGTCGTGGAGGCGAAGTCAACAGTGGAAGGGACAACAGGGGCGAGGGGGAGGGGCAGAGGGGAGCAGTGGATGTCCGTCAATCGGAGTCTACAGAGAAACCTCCCAATTATTGTGGGGGTAGCGGCCAGGACACGATAGTGAAGGAGAGCGACAAAGAGGTTGGGAAGCGTGATAATGGATCCACCACGACCGCAGTTGGCCATAAGGGCAGTAACGTGGAACCTTTTAGAGGTCGAAAAAAGCGAAGAAAGCAGCACCACTCGAACTCTGTTAAGGCCACCAGGAGCTGCTCTAGTGCCGATGAGCATGAGGAGAAAGTGAGGCCAACACGGAAGCGAAAACGGACGGCTGACCTGAACAGAGATGTACCATCGACAACGCCGTCCCATTCGTCATCATCGGAATTCCCAATGATGAAAGTGCGAATACCGGATGGTTGGAAAAAAGGCCAGAAGGTTCGCTTCGCCCTACCCGATGGCGTTGTTCTGTTCGTACCACCCGAGCAGTGTCGGCCTCGACAGATATTGATGTACAATAAGGTTACTGGGAAGATGACTTTTACGGAGGAGCAGCAGCCACCACCACCACCACAAGATGAGATTGATGTTATCTCCCTTTCTGATTGACTTTAACGTACACTGAGATAGACCTATAGCAATAGTCATTTCCCGAGTTGCCCTCGTTCTCTTGCGTTATCGCAATATCAGTGACGGATTCATCTATTGACACATTAACCCTTACTCATACGTTCTAGGGGAGTGTTATATTTCAATGACTTCAACTCCTGATGAGACCCCCTCAGAGGCGTGGTCGTTGTTATCGAATCTTGAAGGCAACTCGGCCTCGACAGTCATACTTACCGCCTATCCCTTCATAGTCGTACAGAGTATCGAACTGAACAGCATCATTGTTATGATAACCCCTGAGGAACATACACGATGTGAAGACGTCGCGCACATAACAGACCTCCCAGCCGCTCCCTCCTGTGTGGCAGCAACGTTGTTGTACAACAACAGGTTGAGAATCGGTGTTGGATGCGAGTCGGAGGTGATCATATTCGATTTCAACGATAATGGCACCAAATGGAAGATATCTCATCGACTAGAAGCCCCTGGTCCGATCGTGACTGTGACTCTCTACTCTGATATCACTTTGGTCGCTACCACCACTACACTATGGCGTTTCACTTCCGACCGCAAGCCGACCTCTCGTAGTATCTTCCACGTCCCTGCTGAGGCTACGATCCTACGGGCTGTGTATGACGGCCAGCAAACTAGGGTCGCGGTGGTACTACAGTGTAAACATGGTGTGAGGCTTGCACTCATGAACTTGCTCTCGGAATGGCCGGTCTCCTACACACCACCTTTCCCCCCGGGCACCACAGTTGAGCAAATAGCACTAGTACGGAACAGTGCGGGGCAAACGTTGGTGTATTGTCTGATATCAACACACCGAGGCTTTACTGCATTCAAGTTCTCTCTATCGTTTGGCAATCGTCAACTCTATATGCGTCCCGTTGCATTCCTCGAACCATCATTTGGTCGGAGGGCCAAACTCCTATCGCCGGACCACAAGCCGGGTATAATCGTCGCCTTATTGTGGAACACCGACTGTGTGAATATCCTCATTCGCTGCGTTAACACCAACGAAAAGGATCGATATGCTCGTCTCAGTATACCCGCATTGAGAACGCGAGGTCACACCAACCGACTTGAGGAGGTGGGTAGCTGTGGGCTTACGACAATGGCAACGACGTTTTCACATGCAGACTGTGGTCCCGGTAGGAGTAGCATTTGATGGACAACAAGGAGGCTCCACGGTCGTGCTCCTGCTCCGGCTCATACGCTCTCAGGTAGGGTGTAAGAACATGCCGATTCTCCTCAAGATTTGCATAGTATGGTATGAACGCATATAGTATGAACATGTGTATAACTTCGATTCGATAATAGTTGTTTTTATTTCGTTTTCCGTATGAAGTTTCAGTATAGCATTATAACTGTGGGCTCAGCGAAAGAGCCTCTTATTATTATATAATTACGATCATGGTTCATTGATAATCAAGTGTTTATTGTTATATCTAGAGGTCATTACACCATTCGTCTTCTCTACAGTAATGATTACTACTTACGTTACATATAGACATGTCGCTTATAATATGAACGCGAATGATGAATCATCTGATCAATCATCATTGATGATCATAATGATATATCAATTCATTTGTGGTATATGTGCGACATTGTGGCCCACTCGTGTCATAGTATAACCTGATGCAGTACTCGTAGTCTAGGTGGTGTTAGATGAATGCAAACATGCATATAGAATAGTACAGACGAAAATAAAATGTTCAACAACTCCTACGTCAGGGCATCCCACCGCGCATTCTCGCTATTACGCTGACGGACCGACAGGAGGCTCTCAGGATGACGAACTGCAGAGTTACGGGGTGTTCAGCTAAGGCATTCATCCGTGATGGACATGACTACTCGCCTGGTGACAAGGACATCGTTCAAGCCGTGTCACATTTGCTCCCCAGGCATTCACCAGACAGTAGACGGTGTTGGAGGCGAAGATGGCCAGCTGAAGGACTTGCATCTCTTGTCGCAGTTCTCATTAACATGTAGATGGATATCAGAACTGATCCAATTTATTTCTTCATTTGATTCACCCTCAGCTCGTTCCACTGGAATGAATGCCACATCGTTCAAGCAAATCCATCATTCCGAGCATCCAAGAACGGCAAATAATGCACCACGCTCAGGTGAGACCACGTTATAAGACTCTGTGTGTATCTCGTCTCGAGCGATCCATTCAATTCAGCTCATTGCCTTGGAGTCTTCAAACTAGAGAAGTCGCCCCTCGATCCACTGCGCAATCAGCTGTCGAGTCCCTATCGCACAGCCGAGCATAATAATCGAGGCCAACTCTACCGGCGTAACATATCACGGCGCGCTAAGGACCATGGAATACGTCTCGAGCTGCGCAACTCCACCAACGAGTTGATTCTTGATGTAGACACGTGAATTGAGTATCCTGCTAGCTCCCTCGTCAGGAACACGTGGATTATGCATATCGGTTGTTATCCTTGGGCACAGTCTCCACTACGAGTCGAGCGGAGAAGCGCATCTCTCTCAGTGAAGTCTTGGCTCCTGTTTCAGCTCCCGTGAGACCATTGGACAAGAGTATTCGGAAGATCAAGCATGAGAGGTATGTCCAAGTCTGCTTAGCACGAAGTGATATCCGTCCTGTTGTTTCAGCGCATCGATGTCGTCAAAGGATTATCTCACTCGACTCTACCACAAACTTGAAATCATAGTTGCTCGAGCTCACATGGGTTGTATCAGCGTTGCAATCTGATCGTTTATGGCCAAGTGCATGAGTCTCACTAATCAAAGCTTATCCCCCTCCACTGTATGTGATCGCGCTTCCGTGATACCATTGTTCCTTTCCATTTCGGTCTTGTGGCTATGCCGAGCTGCTTCCCCCACTCGATAATCATCATTATTCGATATGTAAGCATTCCATTCAAGAATACCATGACTTCTTGATGTTATCGATGTTTAATGTTGGGTTCCAAGTCCCATGAGTGATTCTTGGCAATAACGATTAAGCGGAGCTTGTTATTGAAAATCATGAATGTGTCTCTTTTGATCCTATCGAGAGTGTGTAGCGCACAGATCCTCGCGTGAATGGCATAGGATGTTACATGCGCCCTGAGATTTAACAAGCGCAACTCCGCCAAGCGCAAGCTACCAACTATCCTATTGTATAAAACGTCAGCATACGAGCCATGCTCGAACATGATGTTTCTGATTAGATCGATGCTACTGTTCGTCTCCGTGACATGCCCCCTAACGTTGCCACCATTCTCATCTCCATCTCGGTTGTGCTCGATTCACATTCGGACCGATACTTTTCCAGACTCGTACGTGCTAATGCTAGGGGATGATCGGCGGCTAAATTATCAGCTTTCGTTGGAGGATCATCACTTTGAGCGGGGAAATTAGCCACGAGATAGCGCGGATACCTGAGGCCATTCAAAACGACCATGTTGAGCGCTGACCTTACCGTTTCTCGGTAACAACACTACGACCAAACCAACTGAGTATCCAGTTCGACACACCAGCCGATGAAAACTCAGTCTCGCCCAGCATAGCCCAACGCTCCCGAGAGACCATGACCGCTGCGCGTGACTGAGAGAAGATACCACAACGAGCGATCACTATGCGGGTTTGCCGTTGACAGTATGGTTACTGATATATCCTCATAGCTACTAGACATTATGGCAATAAGGAGATTGAGGAGGGTTATGTTGATAGTGTAGGTCGTGACCACGAATATGAACCATAGGTAGTTAGAACCCTACGAGAGATCATCACAGTAATATGGGGAGCCATACGAAGAGTCTACCCTCATGTTATCGATCTGGCTTTCCATGGTGTCACCCAAAAGACCTATCCTGTATACAGAGAGAAAGTAGTTCCATATTCGTCCAATACTGCCTGGCTTGGAATGGACCATCGGCCCACCCAAAGTGGATTGGGTATTGTCTACTGGATAGTCTACAACCCATACAGCAAGCATGAAAGACAATACAAAGACAGTGAGCATGACGAAAAACCAGCGCACCGAGTAGGTAACCTCGACGACTAGGCGGAACATCCAGGCTAAATTCTCGAAGCCTCGGAACATCGTGACACTGTTGATAAGAAGAACAATCATGGTAATTGAGGCGTACTGCGAGATCGATATGTGATCTCTCCAGTGCTCGTGGAAGTCGTAATCGGTCGCAAAGTCAAATATGATGAGAGCGACCATCATCGTCACGGCTGACAAAAGTGATAGATTCGTTGCATCATCCAAGTAACTTCGCCAGGAAATTCTGCGAAGCTGCAGAAATTCTTTCACATAGTAGGCGAATGAGAGGACGAGTAGGATTATGGCCAGGACTTCACGACCATCCCTGTCGGTGTTGTAGTCGATGATGTACTTAGTGCCGATGGCAACGTACAGAAGCCACTGGGTGAAGGCTGTCATGAATGCTACCCAACCAAAAGCCTGCCACTGGTGTGCAAAGAGCAAACGCATCGTGGGGGAAGTGAGTATGTCATCAGGGAGATGGGAGAACCAGAGGTCCCACTTGAGGGACCACGACGCGTTGGGAAGACAGAGCACCTGATCACGAATAGCAATAGCACCAACTAAGTGGACCTCTGAGCCTAATATGGGGTTATTGCTCTGAGCGAATAGCATACCCAAACCGTGATGATCCCCTGTGGTCACTCTAATGTTCGATTCAGTGGTGTACTCGTCTGACTCGGGCTTGCGTATCCCGAGAGCTCGGTAGTAGTCCTTGCGGGGTAGGCCATAAGCATTGGCGGAGAGGGAGTAGTAGGAGGAAGTTATGCAGGAGGTTATCTCGTGCCTTCCACTCGATGGAAGCACCTGCGTGCAGCTGCTATTATTCATAAGAGAGAATATTGACCTCAGGGGCCTTGCGGTTGCCATCAGTTGGCATCAGGCGAGAGTCTAAGAAGGTTCGCAATGAGGGAAGATCTGCCGCCCTGTATGTGGAGGCCATCAGAATTGGCGTCAACAGGGACGAGACATATCTAAAGCAACTTCCTATATAGTAGTCGTGGAAAGAAAAGAACCCACCCTGCCCCATGCCTCGAGAGGGATGTCGCGTACGCGAGCTGTACATCAACAGCCTTGAAGGACTTATTCGAGAGGCTGATAAGCAGCGTACTCGTGAGTCGACTGTCAAGCCGGAAGGAGAGCTCAATACCGAACTCCTCGGCGACAGCATAGGCAGTAGCCAATCCTGCCGTATTATCTGTCTCTGCCAAGTAGTGCAAGATTGTGGTACAGTGATCAGGGAGCCAGTCCAGAAGAAGCCGTGGCTGCGTACGTAGTAGTGTTGCTAGGACCCAGCCGGGTGTACCAGCATCTCGGCATTGGAAGGAGTACGCGCCTTTGGTAAGGGAAGCCGCACTGTCGCTGAGAGCTGTGAGCTCAGCCCATATCTCAGCGAGGCTTGCTTCTCCGCCTCGCTCGATCGGGTGGATCTCCAGGGAACCGTCCGACAAGACCAGCGCCACTCGTGCTGGTCTGAGGACACAAAAGCCGACCACAGTGACATCAGCGGCCAGGGAGATTGTACGGTGAGGGCGCACGCGCGCTACACCCCCAAACGAGGTGAATCCAGCCAGACTAGAACCACGGCCCACCAGGCAGAGGTGACTGACTCGGCAAGTAAGCATATCCCAACGGATACATACTCCATAGACATCAACGGTGATAAGGTCTCTGGGGTCGTCAGTGAGCTGACAGCTAAGAATGACACCGGAGGGACCAAGTGGTTTGAATCGATAGTTACTAGTATTGTAGTGGCCATCGAGGGAACAGAGGCAAACTCTACTGGGTATATGCCACACCAAGAGAACTCCTGCTTCATCAGCACTGACTAGTCGCGAGGGGTCCCTCAATACTTCAAGGATCGATACGTATGAGTCGTGCCTGATGAATGCTCCATTGGCCTCCTGGGGGATGTCCGTGTCACTGACGGCGTAGAAGATGTTACTGTGGTGTGGTATGACAAGGAGCTCGTTACTGTGTGGAATGGCAGCGATGCCTCGAATACCATTCTGGGCCACGACAGATGGCCAGTCGAGGGCCACCCACTGAGACCTCGTGGAAGAGAACAGGCCAATTCTACTGCCGAATATCAGCGCCCAAGTGTCGTAATGTAGTAGGTATTTTACACAAGTGACGGGCACTTCAAAGTTTTCGGCGAAAGCTCGGCTAAGTGTTGAAGTAAGCGCATGGTCCTTGGTGCGCTCCGACACCTCAATTCCATTCTTAATGTGGTGGACATGGAGGATCCAGAAGGGCCTGTTGCTGATTCCAGTGGCCAGGGAAACTATCAGGATCTCGTAGTCAGCCGAGCTGATGGTCCCTGAGCAGTCCATGACGGTGTCATAGTAGCTTTCTTGGTACGTGTAGAGCTCCACGAGACCGGAGAGGTGATCCTCGGTTGAGTACCACTGGACGGTATGAGCGTCGCCAACAACTAGAAAGTCCCCATTGAGACGACCAATGACCATCACTGCCTGTGCAGTTGAGGTTTCCTTGTTATCAACAGCAATAGTCTCGGGACCGCCTAGCTTATTGATACGAGAGCCATGGAAAGGTCTCCAGAGGGTGAGTGGCCCCGCTGGACCAGGACACGTCAGGCCAAGTGTGCCACAGAAGACGCGGCACAATGGCCGTCCCGGGGGATGGGAACGTGCCTTGGACTTGCCAACAACAGACCTGAGGGAAAGGCTATCTTCATAGGAGGTGACGTTTTTACTTAGCTGACAATGGTACGGTATCGGCACGTATCAAGGAGCCCGAGGAAGAGCAGTCAACCTCAACTGAGTATAAGACCCCGTCAGACAGGTCTCCAGCCGCCAGGATCAACATCACCACTGGTGTCCACTGAGAGTTATCCCTAACATACGAGACCTCCACGCTGGCACCGGGACTTTGCCGTGGCGCACCTCGATAGACGAGGAGACTGTCCGGATGAGGAGCCGTTGTGGGAATTGAGCATAAAGCCGAAACCACTGCTCCTGGCCCTTTCCCTCAGCTTGGTCACTCCACCACGGCTCCGGACCGCCGCTTCCCCCATGACATTAGCTACCCCTCTGACCATCTTCGAGGGCAGGGGAGATTCGGGATGGTCTCGCTCTCGGATCTCCTTGGTACTGACACAGGCGTTCTGATGTTGGGTAGCGGTCATGCTGATAATCGGGGGTCTGAGGCCTCGAGGGAGGACCGCTTCAGGGAAGGTGATGGTCCTTTCTACGTCCCAGATCGAAAAGTTGCGGATAGTTATGGACCGCTGGTTGGCATTACTCGATGCTAATCTCAGACAAGGATAGAGACCAGTACGGGGCAGAAAGCACAGCTCTCCAGGGACTTCAGTTTCAGTAGCTTTAGGGAAGAACAATAGTGACGATTTGTCGGCTTCCTCTCCTTCATCACAGAGGCCTGTTGCAACGCGGATGGTATGGTCCTGGACGAACGCTACCACTGGAAATTTCTGCCCGGCCAGGTCATTCTTAATGACAATACCCGAAGCTGGAGGGAAGTCTTCAGAACCATAGACCGGTACCACACTGGTCCCAACATATACCCAATCCCAAGACGATGAGGCTACTGCCAAGCTCCCCATCTTTAAAGGGATATGTGAGTGTGGCCGAGCTACCATTTTGAAGTCCAAGGGCCCATCGGGCAATGCCCAGGCCCGGGGCATTGATACTCCTCCTAATATACCATCGCTCTCTACAACGAGAAAGGCCTCGTCGGGTGTCCATAGGAGACGTGATGGTCCCAACATCCTGCTTGGGAAGGCCGGCAAGGGAGTAGTACACTGACTTGGTGTGAACAGCATCTGAGCGACATCAGTCCAGATTCGCAGTTCTAGTCGGTGGTCCTCGGTCGTGACTAGAGCGGCCAGCATGGAACATGTCCCGGTCACTGACATGGCTATGATGTTACACCCGACGGTGACTGTGGGTACTGCAATTGTCACAGTCCCATCATCGTCGGGTTGGACCACGGCGAAGCCCTCCTCTTCGTCGGCCAGGAGTATCATCCAGTCACCATGGAAGGCCTTGTGTACGACTTCTGGTATGTACACTACTTCTATACAACGTAAATGGGCAAACTTCCCTTGGGGGATCTTAGTCGTCAGAGAGCAGCCTGATAGCATTTATCGCAAGTGCTAGACCAAGAAAACTGGGAACAGAGTCCGGCCACCTACGATCTCGGAAGAAAACCCGAGCGTTAAAAATGAGCGAACTAAAGGTAATGGGTATCATGTGGAAATAGTGAACGGAACTGGTGCTTCTTCCATGGTAAAAGTGATGACATAACCATCAGACTTTGCCTGTTACCGGATGAGCACCCAAAATAAAGGTTTATAGGGTCGGTTTCTATCAATTCCATATAGGATTCACGGTTTTCATGCCTTTGTTGCTGGTGATAAAGAATGTATAGGGATGCCGAGATTAGAGTCAAAAGACTGTTGATGAAGCCAACTATGAAGTTCCTGGGTGAAGGCTTGGATAATCAATAAGGTGGCCTGCCTTCACGTGGGACCAGCGGGCTGGCCGTCACGCGCTATACATTAACTGTCCGATAAACACGTAGGTCATCTGTCATCATAACACTGTCATGTTGAGTCTAGCTTGTCACACTTGGCTAACCCTTGAGTGTTGTTGACTTAATACAAATGTTATCCCGTGACCATCACAAACGCCAATCGGAGAAGGGGTGGTAAAGGAGGATCATGGCACTGTTACGTGTCGCCTGAGCTGATGGACGATGAGAGGATAGCATATGAGGTCAATCTGAGAGCCAAGTCGTAGAGTATTGGCTGAGTTACCTCATTTCTATCGATGGTCATGCGGCTATGTAAGATACCGCGACAGGTATTGAGCACCACCCAGGCTCGTGGTGTCCCTCTGCCCTACTAGAGGTTGCTTGGGCCACCCTCCTCTCGGTAGACAACACAACAGTATGAAGGCCCGGAGGTCAAGACACAAAACCATCCAAAGGCATGTGGTCCCCTTTGAAGGAGTCCTCGTATGACATTCTAACACTGTTAGGGGCATTCGAAGTTGCGTACAGCACTTACAAAATATCGACCTCCCATTTTTCGCGACTCATGAATCACCAGGAAGCACATACAGTGTGTGGGAAAACACATCGGATAGCCTCAACTCTGCATGATGGCGTTAGACTACTTCTAATGAGATTGACAACCACTCGAACTCATCAAATCAGTGATCGCCTCAACAGCTTATCCCATGTGCTCGAACACAGCAATAAGGAAGACGCCTATGGATGGCAAGGGTGGCGCCCTTCCCCAACTATACCACAGTCAATGCCATACGAAAATGTGGTGATCGAAAATGTCTCCTGCGGGCATGTTGTCCAACAGGATCGACGCCACAGGGCGACGGTACCGGTTAGAATGGTACATGATGTCAAAAAAGTGTTGGGCTTAATTTTCGTGCTATTCAAGAGATAGCAGCTATAGTCTATGCAACAAGGCTGAGCCCATTACTGATAGACCCAGAATAATCGTACCACTCGCCGCGTCCATCACCATCGGGTCCTCTCGGGCCAGGATATCAACAGGGATGGGCACAGTGTTGACTTGCGAGAGCAAGGGAGATTAACTATCATCGTTACAACGGCAAAGCGAAGAAGTGCTAGCCGCCAGAGTGCACGAAGAGAGACGCCTACCATGTTGGGAATACTAAACGCAGATGGTAACAACCAACACGACATAGAAAGAACAAGCGTGAGAAACTATCTTTTCTAGTGGGCTCACAAATTGTGGTATTGCTGTATTACTCACACACGCTGTTGCTGGCCCTGTGTCCTGGCCTTTTCTATTCCCTCATCGAGAGACTGATCAAAAGCGATGGGAGCCAACCCTACCTATGATAATAAAATTACCTTGCATAGGTCCTCTACGACAGTTTCCTCCAACATAACGAGAGTTCCATCAGATTTCATAAGGCAAACCTCGACGTTCTTCCCACTAGAGTCCACGACCTCTAGCAGAGCCCTGACCGCCATTTCTATTGTTTCCTGTTCAGACATGTCCTCCTTGTAGTTCTTCTCGAGATAGTCACTCACTGATGCACAGCCCATTGAATCAGCCGGTAGTGAGTGAGGATATTACCAGTCTTGCTGTTCCTCCCAATAGCAGCAGCCTTCCACGAGTTGAATGACCCAGATGGATCTGTCTGGTATCTGCGTTCAGGAAAACGACTTGAATGACATCTTCTAGGGAGGCTTACAACTGGGGTTTCTTCTGCTCGTTTTGTCCGATTATCAAGGTTGATATACCGAAGGGACGAGCGCCTGAATAGTACAATGACAAGCACCATCCTCCCATTATAGTGTATGACCTCCCTTATAGGTGTACTGCTGTTGGACTCCTGCAATGTATCGAGCCACATAGTCCACTGTTGGTTGGTCCTCAACATTGAGGCGGTAGCTTTGACACTCCACACGAGCCTTATTGGCCAATACCTGTATTTAGATGTCGAGTCAGAGTAGACGATGAACCCGCATTATCACCCTTGCGTCAGCGTTAAGGCCAGCGAAAGCCAACATCACGTGTTGGTCTATTCTGAGGATCTTCCGGACCGTCCTAAGGTAGTATACATAGCTTCCTTTTGACGATAGGAACCAGTGTTGGAAAATATGCACATAGT